GTAATTGCCGATGTTTATGGCGTGGGATGAGGGATTGTTGGATTTTCCACTGGCCTGAGTTTGTTGGACGCCGGACGACACGGCTGTGGTAAGGGAACGGGCTTCGGTGGATCTGACCACCTGCCCATCATGGCCTAGGTCGCTGGGCATCTGGACAGACGTCCCAGCAATGCTGTGCTGAGGCACCATGCTGCCAATGTCGACGGTTCCCGGCCCTGCGCGAGTAATTCCTGAGAAGTGTCCACCTGCTGTAGATTTACTGTTTTTCTTAGGAGGCATGGTGTGGAGAAATGGAATGATGGAAGGAAAGAAAGAAGCATGGTATAAATGGCCGTGTTTTGTTTTATACCCGATGCGGCGTTGCCACAACCCTTGGTAAGAATACACGTGTTCGGACCGACCATTGTTCGTCGCAGTGGACGTGAATTTCCTTGCATCTCATTTGTTATATAGTGATATTTATTGGACTAAACGTGACAAATCACACCGGACCCCAATCTCCCGGCAGGAAAGAACGATTTCCCCATAAATAATGCGCTAACCACGCGATGATCGATGGTGATTGATATGTCACGTGATCGAGGTTTGCTTGTTTGTTTGTTTGTTTGTTTGTTTGTTTGTTTGTTTGTTTTGTCTGGCCTTGTTTGGTCGTGGTTGATTTTTTTCTTTCGTTCGTTCTTTCTTTCTCTCTGCAACCATCTACAAGCCCTTGTTTGGTCGTGGTTTTTTGTTAGTTTCTCCCCCTCCCTCTCTCTCTACCTTTGTTTCTTTGTTTCTTTGTTTCTTTCTTTGCGTGTTGTTGCTTTGTTTCTTTGCTCCTTACTTCTGCATCTGTCCAAATCACGCGCGCCACCCGCCTATAATATGCTTGAAAAAGTAAGTCCCCTTGCCACTCACTCTACTTCTAATAGGATTCGGCCTGCGTCTGCGTTGGTCTGAAGTCCCAACCGTCTAACATACGCCTGCCTGTCATGGCGGGTGCATCTGGTGTACTCCAGAGTTATGTTAGGCGGGGCGGCGCCCCCTCCGCCCTTTACCAGGCTGAGCATTCCTGGGCTGTACTGCCCGGGAGGGTTGTTGCTGGGACTTCAATGTCATTGTTGTCGCCCCGCCTTCTGTGACTCAAGCAAGTCAGTTCTGCTTTTAATGGGGTTTGGTCTGCGTCTATGTATTGGTCTGCAGTCCCAACCGTCTAACATACGCCTGCCTGTCATGGCGGGTGCATCTGGTGTACTCCAGAGTTATGTTAGGCGGGGCGGCGCCCCCTCCGCCCTTTACTAGGCTGAGCATTCTTGGGCTGTACTGCCTGGGAGGGGTTGCTGCTGGGACCTTTGCGTCATTCTTGTTGCCACGCCCTTCATCATGTCCGTCCTGCTTCTAACGGGGTTATCCGTCTACAGTCCCAACCGTCTAGCACACGCCTGCCTGTCATGGCGGGTGCATCTGGTGTACTCCAGAGTTGTGTTAGGCGGGGCAGCGCCCCCTCCGCCCTTTACCAGGCTGAGCATTCCTGGGCTGTACTGCCTGGGAGGGGTTGCTGCTGGGACTCATTCTTGCTTTATATGGCACCCCCCCTGCACCTTGATTAGGCCTTCTAATAATACTGGGAGTGCTCTGCAAGGTCTGGCGGTTGGAGGCACATAATCGTCCTAGATTCATCTCTCACTCCCCTGCAGAACTTCCGCTGGGCCTAGCCAGGCACTACGGTGTGAAGCAGGGGCCATGGGGCTCTGACTTTTCTGTGCCCATTGCCCTCGCTACCTGGAACTTTTTAAAGACAGTGCAGCCGTCCTCACTCATGTACGTGTATGGCGCAATGCATTAAGTTGATTAGAGTAGTTAAAGTGGTTCCACAATGTATCAAATTTGAGGACTTGGATCCTTACACAAGTCTTGAGCTTTGGAAAATATCCTGCCGCCTCCTCAACCCTATTCTGACGCCCATGCATGGCTGCCAGCCATAGTTCAGGACTCTCCCGCTTAAAATTGGCTTCAGTCTGGAACCCATAGTCAACCCACCTAATCAACCCTCCCGCAAAGTACTGAGTGAAGGACTGGCGTTTTTCTCCTGAGGCGATGGGCACATTGCCATGACGCAGGATTGCTGAGGGGATGATGATGGTGGATCCAGGTGGAAACTGGACAATGAGCCCTAGGTCAAACAGAATCAAGTGTCCACCCATGGTAGGGTCATAGTCGCCTAGGGCGGTGATGCTGCACATGCCGCTGGCGAAATTCAGGTTATCCGTGTGATCCAAAGTCACCACGGTAGGACCGAAGTTGAATGTTGCTGCAGGGAACACGCTGTTTCGAAAGTTCCATGCCAAACCTGGCTCTTTTCCAAGAGCGATCTCCTGGTGTTGGAATATAACTCATACACTTTGGGCGAATAATGGTATAGCATGCCTGTGGGCATGGGTCAGTACATCCCATGCTACAGGCGGCTGCTTACTATTTGCAAACCCCGCAAGCCTTTGAATGGCCTTGTGTTCCAGGAGGGATTGAAGTGCGTCTTGGTTTCCCTTGGCGTGCACAAGATTTCCTGGAATCTGCATCGTTGAGCTAGCGGCTCATCCGGCCAAGCATCTCGTCCACAATCACCTGTTGACCGCCCCCAAATGACACTCCGACGGCAAGGCAAGGATAGGCACCTCTTCGGTGCTTCATGTCATCATCGGTGAAGACGCAACTCCCTTGCATCCTTCATTGCAGTGCAGGCTGCAGCTACCGTATCGTGCCAGCGATCGTCCTTGGGTTGTCCAGCAAGGACGCCGATGATCCGTTCTTCCTTGTCCAACAAAACATGAGGGGTGCTGTCACATCCATCGATGAGCCTGCCTCGTGGAATAAGCTAACATATATAACCTACCGTCCATCCCATTCTACAACTTTGAATCCCCGTTGCAGCAGGCAGTCAAGCTCTTGAACGGCCTTGCAGCGAGACTCACGCAGCTTCCCAATGTACCCTCCTCGAGCGATTGGTAGGCATTTCACCAAGACTTTGCTGGCGATCGACTTTGCAATGTGTCTGCTGGCTAGCTTAGACCTTTGCTTGTAGATTGTCACATCTCGGGCGCGCTGCAGTCGACGACGAGCTCGTTTCCCTTTCTGTTTATGGGTTCCATTCCTATGTGGAGTGGAGCCCCCTTGCATCTCGACTTCGCTGTCTTCATGGACGTCATGTTCGGGTGCCAGAACTCCAGGCCCTTCACTGAAGCCTCTATGAAGGACTTGCCCTAGATCCCAACCTTGCAATGGATCATGCATCTGCGCGGCCTCATCCTCCAAAGCCTTGTGGATTAGAGGGACTATGTCACCATCCGTACACAATTGATGATTAGGGCATCCATGGGTGGGCTGGGTGTTGGAGGAGACCTGTTTTTTCGTCCTCAGCCTTTAACGTGGATGGAGGGATTGACAAACCTCGACATCGAAGGCGACTGCTGATCGATGATCAGTGTTTTCCCATACCCTGTTGCAAAGCGAAGGTATCACGGCGAGATTCTGTTAGAACGAACGGCGAAGCTGCTGGCACGCACACCACCCCCTTTTATAATTCCAGTGAGGTAATACAATATGCGATCATTGATCCAGAGAAATACAACGGCGTGCATGTGTCGTGAAACCACGGCCTGCGCCATGCATGTTCGCTAATAAGGCCATCAAATAAGCGATCATCGATTCAGAACAATACAACGACATGCAATGTGTCGTGAAACCACGCCTTGTTTCCCCTGAAGCTTGATTACATCATGAAACTACATATGCATCGCAAAAGAGTATCAGAATGAGGTCATGCAGAATGATATGAAACCACGTTTAAGAGAGAAGCCGCACTGGCACCCACTCGACTGCCCAACGCATCTATGGCCGTTCCAAACGCGCAAGCCTCATGAGGTTGGTTACGTTGATCCTACGCAGCTCGTCTCGTCAGTCAGTCTGTATGTTCCGTCCTTAGTTCAGCATCCATTCACTCTAACGTCTTCTGCCTCGTCATGCTTCGAAACTCAAACATCGCACCATACCAGCCCTAAAGTCGCACATGGATGCAATCGACCAGGAGATGGACGACTGACCTAATTAATCGTTTGGCCGTCCGCAAATGGATACGTTGGTAGCGCAGGCACCGGACGGACTTGTTGAAATCTGAAGACACGATTGGTAAGCATCAGCATCATGACCGTGGGCATTCAATCGTGACTATACAACTACGGCCCACTCATGATCATCCACCTGTGGGCATCTCTCATTGACTATAAATTCCAAGGCCCTGAAAAGGCGACACAATATCCAACATTCTCTACAACACCATCAAATATATATCTATTTCACATCACCAACTCACTCGCGAACACCACCCATGTTGAGTATGGCTGGAATATCCGAGGGCACGACGAAATTCACAGGCACTATTGAGCTCAACAACAAAGGCAAGTCCTTCACCACTGTCGGTGGTCCGTGCGATGAAGTTGGATCGTTACTTTACTCACCTAATCTTCACAGTTGCTCCACAATCACCCTTTGCATCAGCCCTGGAGGACATGATCCAGGAACAATACGACCGAGCTGACGATCGCCTGGACTCTGACGATGAAGGCGACGAGCTTACGAGGGACGTCAACATGCGCGTCAGAGGCGGATGAAGATAGCACGGAATGGCATTCAAGCAATGGTTTATGCAGCGTTTGCCATGTTGCGCATTCCCAAGCGGGTCATCCGCCGGCAGCCTGCCCATGACCATGACGCTGGTGAAGAAGACGAGTATTCCAGGGAGCAAAGGCTGGTAGAACGCATAGATGAAATCGAGGCAGGAGATGGACGACTCAATGGCAACGTTGCAAATGGTCCGGCGGGTGACACTCCTTGCGGATGCACTGGCTAAGGAGGTGCAGAAGGTGAGGCTGAGTGCGCAACCTGGGACGACAGCATCTCCGAACGGAAGCGGACCGTGAACCGGAGGATGGATAACATTGCAGATATCGCGGAAACAAATCATGGCATCGTGTCAAGACACTTTCCAACCCTCACCGCACACAAGACAAGCATTATTCCAGTGTGTGGTCTGTGATCATTTGTTGCCGCGATGGCGGGGCAAGAGGTGGATGAGATGCAACTGCAATTCCTTGAACTGGTAGTTACTATACATCATAGCATATGTCTCCCTTACGACTGCGACGTGGCTACATCATTTACAAGCACAATACCATCATCATCCTTCCACCATTCCCGCGGATCGTGATTGAGACTGTTCCCATCGTCCCACCAAGTTCTCTGAAACCTTGGGAGACATCAAAATTCGCTCCTTTCGTCACTCTCTTCGAGTCTCATCATTGTATTCCATCAATTAGCAAGCGAAGTAACGGGAGCCCACGATTGATTATACTGGACAACCGCTTGTCGTATGGCGAATAGCACGCGCTGAGTAATGACTCTGGAAGGGCGAGTAATGTGGAAGGACAAGCTTGCATGAATGATGCAGCTAATTCTAAACCAGTAATAGCCAAGAATAAAGCAAAAGGTACTAAGGGTTGTAGGGATATTGAAGTATTGTTACACCAATTAATAGAATAAATGGTAATTTAGGAGAAGATGGTAGGTCTGCAGCACAATGGTGTACTATTTGTGGAATTGCACAAGCGGAGGGACTTTCCTTGTGGCCAGATTGTCGACGAGTCAGGGGCTACTTTACACTACATGATAAACCGCGTCCTACATCAAACATTAGGCGCATCACCGTCCACTGTCCAGATGGCGTATGTTTATACAACTTCAACGTATTATCTTACAAGGAATCCCGTGTGCCATTGATGAACGGCAACGACCACCGTGGACGCTTTGTGGTGAGGGTCACAGTTTCTCAATTGTAGCCTTGTTCCACATGTTTGAAACATAAATTGATGAGCCTCGGTGGATGTTCACGCTCTTTCAGTTTACCCTCGTCTTACGCTGAACATTAACATCTACAATGTCTTCAGACTCCAAGGTCGATCATGGCCCATGCTATTTCAACCGTCTCCCGTATGATGTGGCTATACATATATTCAAGCTTGCAGCACTTGGCACTCGCAGCACGAAAGAAAGCCTCCGGCCATTCAGTCGGAGCAGTATGAAAATGCCAGGTATCCTGGCATCAGTGGATAAGCGCTGGAGACATATAGCATTATCCTCTCCGAGTCTGTGGTCCAATCTGGGATGTACCCTTCGGCATATGAACCTCGAAAAGGAACCATCCCAGTTGGTCACCCTCATCGAGCGGTCACAGCAATGTCCTGTGACTGTTTTTATTGATGCACGAGCCCCGGCGGGCATTGAAGCCAGGTAAGCTACACCCGTCTCTAGACATTACATCACACGCTCAGACGTTTCTGGATTTAGCATTGCATATGCCTCCATGATTCCCCGAATCATGGAGTTGCTGCTCAAGGAGATCAAAAGATGGAGATCTCTCACCATCTTTTGCCAACGTTGGGACCGACTCATCCCACACGCCTTTAAACTGCTGAGTACACCCACTCCGACAGGTGCTACTTGCCTGGAAGTTCTGGTGCTCAAGGAGTTTCACTCCTTTGAACCTCTAGATCGCCTTCCGAGGCGGTCAGTACCACGCGCCCAGCTAGTCGCTGCTGGAATGTCATTGGATGCCCTATTCCCTCAAGATATCCGTGCACGGTCTTCCCCACTCCCCAGATTGCGTCGTCTGGCTCTCGACGGGGTTCCTATAAACTGGCCATCATTCTCCCACCAAATGCACACAAACGTCTTTCGATCCTTGCATGTCTTGGAGTTGTCCCAATTTTATGGGCGTGGTTGCTGTCCAACTGGCGACGAGTTTTCAGCGATTCTTTCATCCTGTCCCCGGCTTAGAAAACTAGTGCTGATGGTCTTTTCCCTGTCGGGATTGCCAATCAATCACAAGGCCGTACTGCTTCCCCGCCTCGAAGAGCTTCGCCTGGGATATGGCTCTGGGTATAGGGATGTTGAGCTCGCCATCCGTGTGCTGAAACAGATTCGTGCCCCGAATCTTATAAGCCTTTCCATTGAGGATTGTGGAACCGCCCATTTTTCTGGTCCAAACCCAGAACCTCTTATCAGATATTGCGAAAGTGGTGCTTTTCCTGCCCTTAAGGCTATCAACGTCATTGGCGTCGATTCAGTCGATCTTGACAGCGCTGTACTTTGATATAACGGTGCGCTTTGGGGTGTGTAGGGTTGTTGGTTGGGAAGGGTGAGCAGGGTCTGGTCAATGTAACTTGCATGCACTTCTTGTACAGTTAAAGCCAAAATTATCGGATTAGACACGAGCCCTGATGTAAAAATGACTCTAAATCTTTGAACATGAAGCCTATCAAGCTACCAGAGACGAATGTTCGAGATCCAATCTCGGTTCCCGATCGTCCTTCTCCCCCGTTGTGGGCCGATCGTTACCAGTTAGGCGTACCATCGCAGCCTCAACAAGGAAGCAGAATATGAATAACTATGTAATTAATCATAGCTAGCCGTGTCTGTGAGACCACCTTTCAAATTGTTTCAACTCATATGCCAACTTCCTGCCAGATTCTTCCGCCCTCCCAAGCATTTCATGCACAGGGAGAGTGGAATGGACTTAGTATTAATATTTCCGGAATGGCGACGTCACACATAGTGGACCTTAGAGGGCGATTTATGCGAGGATGCGCAGGAGCCCACAGGTGATATACCGGAAAATCATTTGCTGTTTGGCGAATGGCACGCGCTGAGACATTAGATGGTATGGAATGAGAAAAAACCCGGCAGTGGACAATGGTAGTCGATGTGTGCCCCTGCGGGCGGGAGACCACAGTAGGTCTGTAGCACAATGGTTGACCGTGTGTGGAATGGCACGAGCAGAAACCCGGCAGTGGACAATGGTAGTCGATGTGTGCCCCTGCGGGCGGGAGACCACAGTAGGTCTGTAGCACAATGGTTGACCGTGTGTGGAATGGCACGAGCAGAAACCCGGCAGTGGACAATGGTTGACCGTGTGTGGAATGGCACGAGCAGAAACCCGGCAGTGGACAATGGTTGACCGTGTGTGGAATGGCACGAGCAGAAGAACTTTACTTGTGGCAGATTTGGTTGGTGGACATGCACCACTCCGCAATACACCGCGTCCCAACATCAGACGTCAGGTATTTCAATGTCCGCTGGCCACAGTACAAATAACCACCGCCATCTTGTCCGATATAATCTCACTGGCTTGCTACCCTTCATCGTTTCAAACACCCATCTCAAACCCATCCACCATCTGTTACAGATAACGTCCCAGTCTCGATAAATCGCAGATCATGCCCAGCACTGGTGGTATTGTGATCAAGATGATTCCGGCTGCCCCAGGTGAGTGGGTTGACGATGGACTAACTATTACTGACGTCGGATGGCAGTCGCCTCAAAACCACCCCGCTTCGAGTCGCTCCTCGAGGAAATGCTCCAGAGTGACGACGAGACGACGGAAGATGAAGTAGACCCTGACGATGAGGGCGACACTCACACTCGCATGGTCAACATGCGCATCAGACGGCGCCTGCAGATAGCATGGAGGGGCATTCACCAAATCGGTTCAGACGCCTCAGAGTTGTCGTGCACTCGCGACGATGGCGCGCGCATGCAGCCGACAAAAGACGACAACGGGCAGAACGAGGAGCAGCGCAGTGCGATGGAAACGCGGGAAGGCAGGCGGGATGCGATCCATCAGGCGATGGCGGAGGCACGTGGTAACCGCAATACGGTATGGTGGATAATCAAGCTTGCCCGGGCACTGGAGCTGGAGGCGAACAATATTACCATCGACTGCCTAACCTTCGACGACCGCAGCTCCAAATCGAAGCAGAGATGCATCAAGACGGAGATGAGCAACCTCGAGGATATGTCGCATCGCGTCATGAAGTTAGGATTGGACATTCTCAAGCACAGCGATACCGGCCTCAGGCGCAACAGGTATCAGACAGGGGCGAGATTGAGGACGAAGTATATTTGGGAACTCATAAAGTTGTGCAGCAAGATGGCGGACTCAGTGTATATTGTACTACAGCATTCTGTGGACTGGTAACAAGCAACCACCACTCTAGTGTACATATCCTATCACAATGCAGCGTCAATGTCTACGGATAGCAGTGGCCAAGTCAGCAATCAGAAAAGCATAAGCACCGTTGCGAAAATGGACCAGCTATAAGAAGTCTAAGAATGGCGATTGCAGGCTCTTTTGGCAGTGCTCCATTTGGAATCAGCGACATCTGCAGCGATACGCAATAACGCATGGCAGCCATGTAGGTACCAATGTGCGTTGATTCAAGGAGCATTCCTGGTGCCTTCCCTCTCCTATACCCATCTGCCTTGTTTCTTCGCCCAGGAACTATGGGACAATGGAAGGGCAAAGATAATTGGTACATAGGCGAGATCCAGCAAGCTGCCTGTATCACGAAAGCTGGAAAGTCTTTCAAATTCAAGCTCCATAAACTGGAGATTCGGAGACCGCACCGATTCACTCGGTCTTTGGGGTCTCCACAGATCCTCCAAGTTCATGTTCCAGGGTGTATCGGACGGTGAAAATCCATACATTCTCAGATTCATCGACTACATTCGGATGTCGTATATGTCTTATCACATACAATCATAGACTCCGAATATGCGTGAGCTGAAGCCAAGCCCTCTGGATTCGACCCCCTTTGAGCATGGTTCTTAACAGGAACGTCCACGCTGCCTCTACGAAGAAGCACCAGCGCTGGTCGTGTTTTGGCACTCGCCCCCTTCATGGGAGCAACAATGTGGAAGAGGGCCTTCCTCCATATTGATGGCTGGAGGCTGCCCAAGACGCAATACTGGCAGTATGAAGGTAAGCCTCTGCATAGGATCGACTGTCAAGGCGTGCTCCCAAAAAAAAGGGGCAACCAACTTTCCTCCACATTTTTGGCAGTCGCCTCTGTTATGGGAGCAAAAATGTGGAGGACGGCCTTCCAACGCTCCAACAGCCTAAGGTAGCATTGGGGGATGCGCAAATTGCGGGCTACATTCTGCGCCGCTGCTCGAGTGGTGCCAACATTCGTTATTGCCATTTCCTCCCAACGGCTCTACCTTACGATAGTCTATCTATACACCGTATGGCTGAATATTATATAAAACATGTCACATTTTTATTGTTTTATGAGTATCTCATTTGATAGAGGGTGTTACTGGGATTGTGTTCCACTCACTTTTATAAAATTTGGTGGTCAGGAACATGAGTTATGTCCATTTTACTGTTTGGAAGGTGATACCACTCCATGACCATATTCAACAGGTATTATGTCATCTACAGGGAGTTATATCACTTGCATATAGGTCTATAAGTATTATAATCAGGTAAATTTGGTATCTCCATCTGATGATAACCACATTCAGACATTTGCCCTAGGTGAGAGGAGGAGGGGGTGAACTATAGCAATGAAAAAAATTCCTGTGATCCTGAAACTTGGTTTATCATCTTCTCTGACCTTTAAACTGGTGGGCACATGATCAGCTTGGTCACTGGTACATCCAGAGTGATCTGGCTCTGGTGTCTCCTGGTGGGTTGAGATGATCTGAGTCTATCACCTCACAAAAAATTCTGGGGATCCTGAAAACTAGCCTATCATGTTCTCTGGCCTTTAAAATGGTAGGGACATCATCAGTATACTCGCCAGTACATAATCTGGGTTTGGTGTCTCTTCATAGCAGGAGGTGTTCTCAGTCTATGATCTCACAAAAAATTCCTACTGCTCTGAAACTTGGTGCACCATCATTCTTGACCTTTACAATGGTAGGAACATAATCAGCTTGGTCACCGGTGCATCCAAGATGATTTAGTCCTGGTGCCTCCTGATCACTGGAGGTGACCTAAGTCTATCACCTTACAAAAAATTCCAGACATCCTGAAACTTGGTGTATTATCATGTCTGACCTTCCAAATAGTGGGGACATGATCAGCTTGATCACTGGTGCATTTTGAGTCATCTGGTCCTGGTGTCTCCTGATGGGTGAAGGTGATCTGAAGCTATCACCTCACAAAAAAATCTAGACATCCTGAAAATTGGTGTATCATCTTCTCTGACCATTACAATGGTGGGGACATGATCAGCTTGATCACTGGTGCATTTTAAGTCATCTGCTCCTGGTGTCTCCTGATGGATGAAGGTGATCTGAGGCTATCACCTCACAAAAAATTCCAGACATCTTGAAAACTAGCCCATCATCTTCTCTGACCTTTACAATGGTGGGAACATAATCAGCTTGGTCACTGGTGCATCCAAGATGATCTAGTCCTGGTGCCTCCTGATCAGTGAGGGTGATCTGAATCTATCAGCTCACAAAAAATTCTAGACATCCTGAAACTTGGTCCACCATCTTTCTTGACCTATAAAATGGTAAGGACATGGTCAGCATAATCACTAGTACATTTAGAGTAATCTGGGTTTAGTGTCTCCTGATGGCAGGAGGTGTTCTTAGTCTATCACCTCAAAAAATTCCTACCAGCCTGATACTTGGTGCATCATATTTCTTGACCTTTAAAACAGTAGGGACATGATCAGTGTGATCACCAGTGCATCTAGGATGATCTGGTTCCCATGTTCCCTGATAGGTGGAGATGATCTGAGTCTATCACCCCACAAAAATATTAGACATCTTGAAAGCTAGCCTATCATCTTCTCTGACCATTACAATGGTGGGAACATGATCAGCTTGATCACTGGTGCATTTTGAGTCATCTGGTCCTGGTGTCTCCTGATGGGTGAAGGTGATCTGAAGCTATCACCTCACAAAAAAATCTAGACATCCTGAAAATTGGTGTATCATCTTCTCTGACCATTACAATGGTGGGGACATGATCAGCTTGATCACTGGTGCATTTTAAGTCATCTGCTCCTGGTGTCTCCTGATGGATGAAGGTGATCTGAGGCTATCACCTCACAAAAAATTCTAGACATCCTGAAAACTAGCCTATCATCTTCTCTGACCTTTACAATGGTGGGGACATGGTTGGCTTGATCACTGGTACATTTTGAGTCACCTGGTCCTAGTGTCTCCTGATGGGCAAAGGTGATCTGAGGCTATCACCTCACAAAAAATTCCAGACATCTTGAAACCTAGCCCATCATCTTCTCTGGCCTTTAAAACGGTAGGAACATAATCAGCACAGTCACTAGTGCATTTAGAGTGATCTGGATTTAATGTCTCCTGCAGGAGGTGTTCTCAGTCTATCACCTCACAAAAAATTCCTACCACCCTGCAACTTGGTCCACCATCTTTCTTGACCTTGACAATGGTGGGAACATGATCAGCTGGTCACTGGTGCATTTTAAGTCACCTGGTCCTGGTGTCTCCTGATGGATGAAAGTGATCTGAGGCTATCATTTCACAAGAAATTCTGGACATCCTGAAACTTGGTGTATTATCTTCTTTGACCTTTACAATGGTAGGAACATGATCAACTGAATCACTGGTGCGTTTTGTGGTGTCTCCTGATGGGCAAATGTAATATGAGGCTATCACCTCACAAGAACTTCTAGACATTTTGAAACCTAGCCTATCATCTTCTCTGACCTTTATAATGGTGGCAAAATAAACAGCTTGGTTACTGGATGATCAAGTCCTGGTGCCTCCTGATGACTGGAGGTGACCTAAGTCTATCAGCTCACAAAAAATTCTAGACATTCTGAAACTTGGTGTATTATCTTCTCTGACCTTTAGAATGGTGGGGATTGGTCAGCTTGGTCACTGGTACATCCAGAGTGATCTGGCTCTGGTATTCCTGGTCGGTGGAGATGAATGGAGTATATCACCCCACAAACAAATCTAGACATCCTGAAACCTAGCCTATCATGTTTTCTGGCCTTAAAAATGATAGGGACATGATCAGCATGATTGGTTTAGTGTCTCCTGGTGGGTCAAGGTGATCTGGAGCTATCGCCTCACAACAAATTCTAGACATCCTGAAACTTGGTGTATTATCTTTTCTGGCCCTTCCAATAGTCAGCACATGGTTTGCTTGATCACTGGTGCATTGTGAGTCACTTGGTTCTGGGGTCTCCTAATGGGACAAGGTGATCTGAGGCTATCACCTCACAAAAAATCCTAGACATCCTGAAACTTGGTGTATTGTCTTCTCTGACCTTCAAAATAGTGGGGACATCATTGGCTTGGTCACTGGTGCATCCAGAGTGATCTGGTTCTGGTGTTCCCTGGTGGGTGGAGATGAACTCAGTCTATCACCCCACAAAGAAATTCTTGAGATCCTGAAACCTAGCCCATCATACTCTCTGGCCTTTCCAGTAGTGGGGACATGATCCGCCTGATAACTGGTCCATTTTATGTCACCTGGTCCTGGTGTCTCCTGATGGATGAAGATGATTTGAGGATCTCACCTCACAAAAAATTTTAGACATCCTGAAACTAGGTGTATTGTCTTCTCTGATATTTATAATGGTGGAAGCATGACAACATCCATAAGTGCAGCCTGGCTAGTCCTAGTGACTCATCATAGGAGGGGGTCCCTTCACTTCACCAGTGCTGGAAAAATTCCTGGCATTCTGAAAGTTATCCTATCATCTTTCTTGGCCTTGACAGTGGTAGGGACATATTCAACTCGATCCCCAAAGCATCCAGCAGAGGCTGATGCTACTCCTTCATCATAGAAGGGGGGGTTCACTCACTATACTACCTTGGGAAAAATTCCTGGCATTCTAAAACTGGTCCTATCTATATGCGGACGGCGCTTAGGTGCTAAGCGCCGCGGTCACAAAATCGATTTTTTTCGTCCCCTTCCTTCCACAATTTATATAGGACTATGTATCTCATCTTGTAGCCCTCGAAATTCTCTTCTCCCCGGTCCAAAACCCGGTTTAAATACATCGAGATTGTGTTGTGTAAATCCATCTGCAAAAAGTTCACTTTCCCACACCTTCTCCATGCTTTTCTTGCCTGGCCTATATTCACCATGACCTCCAGGCAACTTGACACCTTCTGGACCTATCAAGATGCATATAACGACGACCCCGGACAAAAAATTTCGCTGCCCGCATGTCTCCTTCCCAACTTATGGCCCGTTCTTTGTTTTTGGTGCTGTGGACGGAGGAGGGGGGGCAGGTGCGTCTGTAACTTTTGCACACTTTTTTTTCTCATTTAACCCTGCTAGCATCGCACTCTAGGGATTCATACCTACTCCCCGCGCCAGTTATTTCGTTGCCCGGAGCTCTGTGTCCAAAGTTATGCCCCAATCTTCCTCCTCGGCACTCTACAGGGAGGAAGAGGGAAAGGTGCGCCCGTATCTTTTCTTCATTTCGTTTTCTTACTTAGCGCTATTGGAATCCCACTCTAGGAACTCTTATCCACTCCCCGCACCATTCATTTTGCTGCCCGCACCTCTCGGTCCAAAGTTATGCCCGAATCTTCCCCACGGGCGCTGTATAGGGAGGAGGGGGGATGGGTGCGTCTGTAACTTTTTCGCATTTTGTTTTCTCACTTAACCCTGTTAGTATCACACTCTAGGGATACATACCTACTCCCCGCACCACTCAATTCGCTACCTGGAGCTCTCAGTCCAAAGTTATGCCCGAATCTTACCCACGGGCGCTGTATAGGGAGGAGGGGGGACGGGTGCGTCTGTAACTTTTTCGCATTTTGTTTTCTCACTTAATCCTGTTAGTATCACACTCTAGGGATACATACCTACTCCCCGCACCACTCAATTCGCTACCCGGAGCTCTCAGTCCAAAGTTATGCCCGAATCTTACCCACGGGCGCTGTGTAGGGAGGAGGGGGGACTGGTGCGTCTGTAACTTTTTCGCATTTTGTTTTCTCACTTAACCATGTTAGCATCGCACTCTAGGGATACATACCTACTCCCCGCACCATTTATTTCGCTGCCCGCACCTCTCAGTCCAAAGTTATGCCCGAATCCCCCCTCCCCCCCGCAGGTGAGTTAGCTCGCTTCAGCTTAAGGACTGCAATTTCATTATATCTTTATTCATACGGTTAGCATTACACTCTACACACTCTTAGCTATTGCCTGCACCCCCAATTTCACACACAGTTAGGATGTTGTGCCCAAATCTTCCCCCTCTGCGGTTAGGTTAGGTTAGTTAGGCTTAGGGACAGCTATATCTCTATATCTTACTTCATAATGTTAGGTTACGCGCTCTATGCATCTGCGGTTAGTAGTTAGCTAGTTAGGCTTAGGGACAGCTATATCTCTATATCTTACTTCATAATGTTACTTACGCGCTGGTTGCACTCTTATGTACTCACTGCGCCACCAATTTGACAAAACATTCCTCTGGGTCCAACATTATTGCTGAACCTGCCGCCTCTGCACTACAGTTAGGGACGTCAGCGTTAGGTTGGTCAACCTTCCCCATCATAACCGGTTAGACACTTTAAAGTTTTACAATTATTCCCCACATACCTCCTACTAACGCCTTGTCCTTCCATTTCCAGCTGAACTCAGTTACGGGCCCGGTCGGGCGAGGTTTGACTCAGTACGCCAGGTCAAAGTCAACTGAGCACTTGTTCCATATTAGTTCACATATAAACGCTGTTATTAGTATAACTGTTGCCCGATATTGATTCGGTACCAACGCGAATTCTTAGAAGTGTTCCGCTATCCAGAAAAACTTTACTGGTATTTCATTTACGCACGTTCCACATACCGATTATAAGACCCTATACACTTATGGATGCAACCCTACTAACCGCACGAGCACAGTTTAAGTGACGCTGGTCAAAAATTGACTCACGCGTTAACGTCCTGCAATACTTTATTATTTCAGTACTGTACATTCATTAGGTCGCACTCACCCTAAACGCGCATGTACTAGCGCATCAACATTCAGCCCCTTTGTCACCTGTAATTACAAAGTCTCAAGGACATGTAAAGTAACCGTTAGTCTAGGTAGAAGATTGGTTAATAATTCTTCTCTGCAAGAAGTGACAACTCACCCGGTGGTCCCTGCCTTTGCGCTCATCCGCTTCACTTTTCCTCACTTACTTACTACAAACGAAGGCTTAACGCATCACTATATACCTTACAAACTTAGACATTAGCTTAAAGTTATTATACTTTGCTTACCTTGTGTTGTGACTTTAGTGCGTGATACATGTTGAGAGCAAAGAGCATTAGATTATGTAATCTACACAGTGCTGTATGTTTGTAGGGTTGCACTGTTGTTTGTGCAGCTTATGTAATATACGTCGCAGATCCCTATAGTAATTACTACCTTCCATCTTACATAATCTTTTTCTGTTCAACCATTACCACTACGACATCGTTAGGTTATGTTGGGCATCCGCATTGTCAAGTAGGTCATGGGTCAGGCCCTTTGAGGCGGAACTATGTGAGATCCAGTACACCGCAAGAATGATCTACGTGAGGTTTGGTGTGCTCAGTACCAACAACATGACTCAACCACAATGCGTTTCCCTCGACTTTTCGGAGTACGAGTGCCATACCTATGCCCGGGAACTTCTGTCTGAGTGACTTAGAGGTGGAGGGGGAGGTTATCCACCCATATCTTTTTTCTATCGCAACTCCTGACCTTTGTCTTTGGTCATCGTACTCTACAGACCCATAGCTCGCTCCCGCTCCACTTTTTTCGTCTCCCGGGTCAAACCTGCACAAGCTACACCTGAAAACATCACTGTGGGTAGCTTAGAGAGGGTGGAGGAGGTAATCCGCCCATATCTTTTTTTCATCGCACCGCCTGACCTCAATCTTTTGTCATCTTACTCTCCAGACTCACAGCTCGCTCCCGCGCTATTCATTTTGTCTCCCGGGCCAAAACTGCTCGACCTATGTCCCAAAACATAACTCTGGGTCTCTTAAAGAGGGTGGAGGAGGTAATCCGCCCATATCTTTTTTTCATCGCACCGCCTGACCTCTATCTTTTGTCATCTTACTCTCCAGACTCACAGCTCGCTCCCGCGCTACTCATTTTGTCTCCCAGGCCAAAACTGCTCGAATTATGCCCAAACACCCCATCCTGGGTCCTGCACGCTTAGGCCGCTATCGTTTGGCCTCGGTCTTTTAGTGTTAGGTTTGTTAGATGGGTTAGGACTGCATCATATCCTGCCTCGGTCCTTAGGGTTAGGCGTTAGGTTGGTTAGATGCTTAGGACTGCATCATATTCTGCCTCGGTCCTTAGGGATGCACCTGTCGTCAACATCCCCGAGTCCGAAACGCTTAGCATGGCAGTAGTCGAAGATCGCATTGCTGTCGACTCTCCGCAGGTCGTAGCAGCATCCTTGGAACCCAAAACAGACTCCCCTGGACCTGAACCTGTAGCATTCCCCTTCTCAGACGACGCACCTCGCGCTTCCTACTCAGCTTCAGGTTCTGATCCTACAGCGCTAGCGTTCCCTACGACAGCATCAACTTCCGACACACCTTCTGTCCAGAGCCACAGCCATCCCGAGCGGTCAGCTGTTCCTATACATGTCCAAGGCGCGAGCGTTACCTTCGATGCGGGTGTAGCTACGCCCCCTTCGGCTCTACAAATGAGTCAGTCATATGATACTTTCCAATGATATTCATAAGGCTGAACCTATGCTCGTTAGATAAACAGTCACATCCAGACCAGCCACAGCAAAACGGACACCCACAGCAACCTCCTCCCACAGATGGTCTCATCAATGGCGCTGCCGTCAATGGTCATTCTGCTCCCCAGCCTATACCAGGTCCATCCATTACCCCTGTATCCTTCACTCAAGAACAAATGGCTGCTCTACGCGCTCAGATTATGGCCTTCAAACTCGTCTCCCGCGGTTCCCCCATCCCCGACCATCTACAACATGCCATTCGTGTTCACAACACCGCCGTCCCCGATCTTGAGAAGCTTCTCCAGGGCCCAGACGTGTCCTCACGTATAGTTGACAGTGCTGCCAAAATACAGAAAGGTCACATTGCTCCACCCCCGCCCACCGAGCCCCCCGTCGAAGTCGTAAAAGAAGAAGAACATGGCCCTCCCATCGACCCTGCTGATCTTCCCAAGGGCCCCTTCCTCGAAGACGCAGTTAGCTCGGGCGTGTACCCATACAACGCATTCAAGATGCCCTTCATCCACCTCGAGCGCCCACCCAACGTCGACCCAACCATGGTCGCAACCCGCCTCCAGCGCCTCCTCATCCCCTCCATCATGCCTGCAGGGCTCGACGTCCACCAGGTCATTAACGAGCGTGTTCGGTTCATCGAAGCGCGCGTTCAACAGCGCATCAAGGAGCTCGAGGATATCCCCGCCACAATCGGTGAAGGCCACTTTGAATCTCTGGCAGACGTCATCCTCGGTGGAGCCAAGCAAGAGTCACCCGATGAGTTCTCGCCACATGCTCCACACGGCAAGCTGCGCGCAATGATCGAGCTCAAGTCCCTCAAGGTGCTCGAGAAACAACGTGCCATGCGCGCGCTCGTCGCAGAGCGCTTGATTCAAGGCACCCTGCTCCCGCTCAACCGCGTAGACTTCAGGCGTGCGCGAAAGCCCACTCTCAGGGATGCGCGCATGACCCGCAAACAGCGTATCGACCGCGAGAGGCGTGCGAAACACAAGGATGTCGAGCAGCTCGGCATCATCTGCCAACACGGGCGCGACATCATCACTGTGAACCGCTCCGCACAAGACCGGGTTACAAAGCTCGGGCGTGCGGTGCTGTCCTTCCATGCCTTCACTGAGAAAGAGGAACAGAAACGTATCGAGAGGATATCGAAAGAGCGTTTGAAGGTGCTCAAGGCGGATGATGAAGAGGCGTATATGAAGCTTATCGATACGGCAAAAGACACGCGTATCACGCATTTGCTGCGGCAAATGGATGCCTATCTCGATTCGCTTGCGCAGGCTGTCGTTGCGCAGCAAAATGAGTCTGGCCCCCCCTTGGATACCAACTTTGACCAGGAGGAAGGCCCCGCGAAGGAGGCCACGTCTGGCGCCCAAGTCAGTTCTGACGCACAGGATGACAAGGGCAAGGTGGATCACTATGCTGTTGCACATCGCATTTCGGAGAGGGTCTCGAAGCAGCCTGGGTTCGTGGGCTTGTCGGGGCCCATCCTCTCTTACTTCAGACCACCGACGTAACACACCTACAAGATGAAGCTCATTGCCATCTGTGCACTTTTCGTCGTCGCAGTTGTTGGGTCACACACTCCTCCATCTAGTGCTCGCTCCAACGTAGGCCGCACACAACGCATTCTCCTCAACACCGCTGGTAACAGCCCCAAAGTGTTTGATGCGAAGAAATAGCTGAACTACGTATCTGAGTACTTTTGTCTTCCTTTATCCACTGGCAAATTCATCTGACGTAAACTAGGAAGTACACTGCCACCATGAAGGCCTACGAACGGAACACTGGATCCCCCATCCGTTGAGTAGTCGCTTCAACAGCCGTCCGGTGGCGAAGCGGGCCACGAATGGAGACGTGCCCCTCACAAACTACAATGCGGACCTTTGGTACGGCTCGATCAAAGTTGGCACGCCCCCGGAAACATATACAGGTTCGTTTATCATTGAAATTATGATGCGACATGGTCTGACTCTGACATTCTGAAGTGGTGTTTGACACTGGCAGCTCAGATCTCTGCGAGTTTTCCCAAGAGTGTATCCTTTGTTTCCAAGCTGACAACACTCCTCGCAGTTCTTCCATCTGATGATTGCGGTTTCACTTGTGACGGGCATAAATCATACGACCCTGATTCGTCCTCGTCAGCCAAAGATACTGGGGAGCCGTTCTTACTCACCTACGCCTCTGGACAGACGGCGGGTGAACAGTATTTCGACGTCGGTTCCGTTGGGGGTCACAAAGTTAGTTTCCCAACGTGTTCATTTCTCTCTACTAATCTAGCTTGTCAGGTTAATAATCAGAGTGTTGGCGCTGCATACTTATATTCGCCACAGTTCAGCGAGTATGACTACCCCCCTGACGGTCTCTCCGGCCTGGCATTCCGTGAAATCTCAGAGTTCGAAGGATCGCCACTCTTCGAGACACTGAGCGAGAGCGGCCAACTGCCAGAAAGCGCCATGGGGTTCAAGCTATCTACTACCCCAGGAGATAGCAAACTGCTCGTCGGAGGAACAAACACGAGTCTCTACCGTTCCGACACACTCACGTATATCCCTGTGACAACACAGGGCTATTGGGAGGTAGAGCTAGGCAGCATCTCGAGGTTGGGCCAGGAAGTCGATGGGTCGGACGACATTCCTGCGATCATTGATACCGGGACCACCCTCGTCATCACGTCCGATTCAGTCGCACAAAGTTACTACGCGAACATATCTAACGCTACAGCCCACACGGAGGACGGGTATACGTACTGGACAAGTAAGTCTATCTCCTACTCCACCGTCATTAATTTGATCAACGTCTGCGTCTGCACAGTTCCGTGTAATATGATGAATTCATCTGTGCCTACGTTCACGTTGGGCGATCATTCCTTCACAGTCTCTCCTCAGACGTTCAACCTCGGGCCAGAGGATACTAATTCGACCGACTGCATGGTTGGGATCGCCTCGTCTTCGGAAATGGGTGCGTACAGCTTGTGGTATATTTACAATGACATTAGTGCTCATACTCGACACAATGCAGATTTCACCATCGTCGGCGATGTCTTTCTTCAAAACGTGTATGCGGTGTTTGATTACGCACAAACGAGGGTATTGAGAGTCAATCGAGACGGGAGTCCCGAGCCAACGTTTGAGACTGAAGACTTCTCGTAATGGGTTCAATTATATATGATAGTGGCTGAGAATTTCAAGAAGCGGTGATTAGATGGAAACGGCAACACAAACTCATACCTGTGATCTCAAAAGCGCAGCAAGACGTTCTCGGCCTATGGTTCGGCATACTAAATGAACGTGATATAGCCTGAGTGGTGAGCACCAATTCCACTGCCTTCATTCATGTCTTTTCTCCCCAGAAAATTCAGAGTCGCTCATGTCTGCCCAACTCCAAAGGTCATTCTCCACATTATCTCTCGCGGTTTTCACTCAATTTCACGCAATCCTGGTCTCCTCTCCTTCTCGATCCTCGTTGCGCTTTACATCATAACTGAGATAGTGTTTTCCGTGGCGTTCTTTTGGGGATTCTCTGGATGGCGACCCGCTTTCCCCTTAAGCTGGAGGTTCCTACTTCTGCTTCTCTTCGTAGTCCCCATCTTTGCCTTCATTCAAGTATCGCGATTTCTACTTCCCCTGCTCATCAACCGATGGAATGGGACGGTCGGAGGCATGAACCTTTCTCAGCAAGGGTATGTCATGCTCCAGCGAAATGGCACCACCGACGCACCAACTGAACTATTCGACGCTGCCGAGGAAGAAAATGCGCTGCTGGAAAATGTCGAAGAAGGTAGTGAGCGCTCTAGACCAGTGTCTCCTACTGCGCATCTTGTGGTGCCGCATCCCAAATGGTGGTGGATACAACTTCTCGCATACATCGTACTTTTTTGCGCGAGCACGTGGGTTGGACTGCATTATGAGCAACCTGGTGATGTGCGCTACAGGGACTCAATTCAGTCGGCTGTTGATCATCCTCGAAGACAAGGCTACGGAAAGCAAGGTGCGTTTTCTCAACATATCGAATCGAAGGTAGCTTATGCGGCCTCAGAGAAAATACTCATTGCTGCGTTGTTCTACAACAATGAACTAGTTATTCCCTACTGGCACAACTCTCTTATCAAAGTCATCCATTATCTCGGTCCGGACAATGTGTTCGTCTCTGTTGTTGAGAGTCACAGTACCGACAGCTCCCCTCAGCTCCTTCAAGCGCTAGATACAGACCTTGAGCTTTTGGGTGTGTCGCGGCGCATACTCACAGGAGATGAGACAATTTCGAGACCTGACTATATGGGCGGGGGCGAACGCATCGAATTCTTAGCGGCTACGCGTAACCGTGCACTGGAACCCTTAATGGCAGGAGGGTATGATAGGGTTATGTTCTCGAATGACATATTTATCGAGCCTGAGAGCTTGGTGGAGTTATTGGAGACAAACGGCGGAGACTACGATGTGGCATGCGGGCTAGACTTCGGGCATTTTGGGTAGGTACATTCAGCTGGTACGACATACCTATGGTTCTAATGGCCGGAAGCGCATTTGATATGTGGGTTCTCCGAGATCGACAGGCAAGGCTAGCCAGTGCAATGTGAGTTGCCAACTTCGTGTTCATGTAGACAGTCTAATTCAATTTATTCGACACATAGCTGGCCATATTTCTTCGACGAGGCTGACTATCATGCCATGCAGGAGGATTCTCCCGCACCCGTCTTCGCCTGCTGGAACGGTATCACCGTCTTCACTGCAGATCCTCTTATTCCGATAGCCTTGCGCTCTAACCGCACGCTTTCAAATGATCCTTTGCCATACGAATTGCCCTCAACCCACCCGGCAACACAAGATGATTCTATGCGCGGTCCTAGTCCTGCTCTGACTCCCCCAATAGAATTCCGCGTCTCTGCGCCAGAGGAATGCTTTTCGTCTGAAAGCTTCTTGCTACCGCATGACCTTAGGCGACAGTTCAATCTGCAGCGCATGTATGTCAACCCAAGGGTCATTAATGCGTACCGGTGGAGGTATGTCGCATGCAGCATTATCGGGAACATAGCTGATGTTACATACTAGATATTATGTCTACTTCAAATGGTTCATGCGCCATCCCGTACTCCGGTGGTGGATCGAAGAAGTGTACAATGGTGCATGGATGGCAAGAGCTGTGTTAGTTGTGGGCGATGCAACTCAGGTGTACCGATGGGACGGAGGGGACTGCCATCCATGGTTTTGAGAGTTTTGGCTCTGTTCAACAGACCCAGTCGCGAGGTTACGTGGCAATGAGTTAGGATTCGGACGTATTCAGCTATTTACTACCTGGGAGCCGTTGCAGAGGCTGCATAGAGTCTTCGGACATCATACTATTACTGGTACTAATCTGCCACTGACGTTTGTGCACGTCGACTCGTACGTCCACACAATCACCCATACAGCGTTTTTCCATCATACAGGACCGTAATGGGGTCGTCAGCATTCATCGGCGATGGAGCCCCTTTGCACCGTCGCGTCCAGCTTGAAGGTCTAGCAGTGAATATTATCGGGGCACCATAACGATCAAGAGAAGTCCCTTCTTCTTTCTTCATCTCATGGGAACTGTCATAGATTGTCGTTCTCCAGTTATCCAGCATGATCAGTCCTGAGGCTATGAGTAGCCCAGCGCAGACCATGCTTAAGTCGTCCGTTACGTTTAAGGGAACTATGCATCACGATCCCTCTGGGTCTCTACATAAACGGAGAGCTCGCAGAGCCTGTTGAGGGGGGCACAATCGAGTGAGTGTCTTCACCATACACTTGGGCGCGGTCTCATTCGTACTCGGTGGTGTCAGTCCCGGTATGAATTCTTTGTCCGTAAATTCTTGCAGCAACGGGCAAGGTGGTTACTGGGACCAGGACAGTGGCATAGATCCAAAAGCATTTTCTCCAGAACGCTTTCTTGAGACCCACGTAAAGAAAACGGCACTTGATCCTTACAGTTATGCATTTGGCTTTGGCAGGAGGTAAGTGTGCATTACGACACCCATGAAACTTACTGATATCCGCGACCAGAATGTGCCCAGGGCGCTTTTTAGCAGACAACACCGTATTCATGCTTGTAACCAGTATGGTGGCGACCGTGCAAATTTCAAAACCCAGGGACAGCCATGGCGTGGAAAAACCGTTTGATCCTCCGTATATACCCGCAGGTCTTGCCAGGTGCGTTCGGCGAACAGTAAATAGTAGGAATACTCACGCATTTGCCAAACAAGTTTTCCTTATCCATTCGAAGTCGGCATCGAACCTGTATCAGAAGAAGCAGTGGCTGTCGTGAAAGGCAGAGCGATGAATATTGACTGAATATTCGTACATACTTACGGAGCACGAAAGCTCCGACGCTGCAACGTACGAGACCAGTCGTTATTAACTAACAGCTTGCCTTGAAGGCTGAAATTGACTCACCGACAATCCCTAATTATGCCACATATATATGCTCATTCGCAGTTGCAATAGTTTTGGGTCTGCAAGAATGTTGAGGAACCACATCATGAAAATACTATTCCGTCATCAATCGAGCGTGACGCGTTTCCAAAAGTTGAGCCAAGCTTAACTCGACTTGACTCGGGGCCGATGATACTCCCCGATCCTAGGAGATACTATGGAACTCGCAGAACGAGAACGGGACGGGAACAGTCGGTGGAAAGACCTCTCGAGCCGAGAGTCAGCGAGGACTGGCGATGGGGTGCTGCGTCGAGGGTCTATACTATCAGGGACCTCCAGGATTCTCCCTGCTGGTCTGGCATCCGTTTCCGCATGCTAGAAATCAGAGGGTGACATTGACTCCAAAAAGCGGCGGCCACTAGGAAACACTGTTTGAGGATCACGATGAACACAAGTGTGTGCAGTTGATAAACTATGTCGAATATGCGGTACACTAAGAGATACACATGTGAGGTGGTGCGGCAGCGCAGATGCAGCGCTTTGGCAGGCAGTGATAGTACTGCCAGCTGGCCAAGGGCTGAATGTTTCTAGAGTCATAGAGAAGGCGCGGGTCACCATTACAGAATCGTTCAATGCCAGGGCGATAAGACGAGAGAGGGTCAATTCCAGGGATGCAGCCATCGTAGATGTCTAAAACGCGTACATTGGATGAGAAGGCCCTTGGCAAATATATCAAAGAGGTTTTTTTAGCGAAAAGCCGGAAGATGCGGGGGAAAGCACTGTGTCCTGGAGTGCATTGCGATATTCCGCGGCAACTCTTTTGAGGACAGACCCAAGTACCCCAGTAACCAAAGACGTGCGCAAAGGAATCCTTCAACTTCCTGGACTTCTGTACACGTTTTGATTAGCAGTCCCACAGCCATTGTGTGGTCACAGGTAAATAAATTCTATCATGGTTCTGCGCTGATCGTAGGCTACGATCAGCGTGTGGACGTTCGAATCGATCAAATATTCTGGATAGCGGTGCCAGCTGGTTAATACCACAAAACCAGTTCTCGTACCAGATAATCAAGGCTTGACCTTCGAGACAGGGAAGTCACAAGATCTCAACTCGCACTTCTCAGGTTTGCATAGATCCAGTCACGCGGGTAATACTCGCAATAACGAGAGTCTCTGTCTCTGATTAAATACCGTGAGTTCTGGTAGAGTGTCCTGCTTTGGTAAATTATCCGTTGATTCCGACTTGCAGCCGTATGAGACAAGGCTAGAATTGATCATCGTTCAGCGAATAACAAATGATGCTTATTTCTCGCTCATCTGGTAGTGCCCGTGCAGGATGTCAGCTACACCTGTGTACTACTCGCACAGTGTAGCCAAACTTCGATGGGCTTCCAAACTTAGCTTCACATCCGCCACCTCAGTACGCTCCCCACTAAAAAACCTTGCCCAGGTGTCAGTTGACAATACCAACTGACGAAGAAAGTATCTCACAAACTCCTAGCCCACCCATAATCCTTTTGCCAACCACACTCCCAGAGGCACCGGGACGGGCCATTCTCAGTGCATAGATGCCAGTGGCAGCGAACGCGCCGCTTCCTATGATGCGACACGTCACGCAATCGTTGTAAGATGAAGCCTGGTGGACAAAGGTAGAGTCTGTGCCGGGTGCTGTAGACCTCGTCGCGTTGGATTCAGGCGCGCTCATGCCCTGTAGTTGTAGCAGAAACATAGGAAACACGTCCCTACAAGTGGCACGGAAGGACCCCGGAAACAGGGGCCAAGAAAACTACGACCTAACTTACATAATTTGGGGGGACACTTAGAAAAGAGTGTACTTATTAGCCTTTAGGTGACATCGTAAAGTGCTGTGATATAACGGGGGGTACGGTTCTAACGAACACCCAGACATACGCGAGTGAAACAACGTCGAAGAACACAAACCACACCGACAACTCTGAGTCTATGTAAACTAACCTCTGTACGCATAACCCAGCATCTCCGAAGTGCGTCTTTGCATGAATTCGGGGCACATGCAGCCCTCCGTCCACCCACTGGCTGTGTTCACGGGCTCGCTAAACATGTTAAAGTCGGCCACATCGATAGTGAAGGGGAAATTGTTATCCGTTGGGTTATGGAATATGAACGATGGGTCTGGGTTGCTTGCATAGGGTTGGTAGGATGGACCAGGGATCTGGGACGACGGGATTTCGTCCGATGCGACGGGGGCAGCAGCGCGACCGCCACGTGTATTGCCACCGCGCGGAGGAGGAACATATCCGTGTTTTGTTTTGCGATGGCGCGTCAGGGCGGATGGATCGTGAGTTCTGAAGGTGCAACCATGAGGACAGCCGTAGCGCTGCTCGCCAGTGCTGAAATTACTGATAAGATGGAATATTTGATGGCAATGAATGAGTACATACTGTCTAGCGTAGTGGATTTCAAGACTTTTTTTTTTCAATGTCGTGAAGTCACATCCAGGGAAGGTGCAAGTGTACACGCTGAACGTAGAGCTCATGTAAATGACCTATCCAGCATATAGGACGAACACGTACTTTTCCGGACGTGCATGTCCAGCCTCGTGCTTCTTCAGGTCCGTAAACTTGTCAAAAGTTTCACTGCAATGAGCCTGAGCGCAAACGTAGTTCTGCATTCAAAGCTTTAGTTTTAGGGCATGAAGGATGCTCGCGACCAGATTCACCTTGCGAGAAGTCATTTTGATTATAGAGGAATATGAGCGAGTGTGCTTAATGCTGTCCGATGTGAATGCCTGATTCTCTTTCACGGTGATGATGGTGCTATGTGGGGATTCGGTTTGAAATATATACGAGTCCCAGAGGTGGAAGTGCCATTGTGCTTTGGGGTGGACGAACGCTTGTTGGGATTACATAGACGCTTTGTCGGGGCTGGTGAACATGAGCCACTGCAAAGCGTGAATGTACTGTCAAAGCTTCCGATGGTCCTTTTGAAGACTTCATTATCTGTTGCCTAAAGGCTGCGAAGGTATTTCTTTTAGCATGCACTGACAGGTGTGACGGATGTGGATAAAGATGCCTGTACGCCTGGCAGCCTGTGCACAGGCCTACCTTTCATGACGGACATAGTTGGGCTCAGCTGAGGGAGCAACTGAGAGTGTTGCGTCAGTGGATCCAGCATTAAACGGACGCTAGTCTTCACCCAGAGAATCGATAGAGGTCAGCTCGACGTACAGAAGACTGATGAATCGAATTGACTCATCTGTCGACACCGACTTTCCGAGGTTTTTCACGGCACCATCTATGTTTTCATGTTCTTCCATTGAAAATCAAGAAGCGTAGATGAGGTCTGAACAGGTCTCCTGAATCGCATAATCTTGAAAGTTTCATAGTAACTGAGCATAGTTCCAGCATGGCGAAGGCAAGCAGATCAATGTCGAACGGTACACTCCAATCGAGTTGTTTGCTTCCGAGAACGATACGATCCAAATCCGCACAAAATCCGCATTCCATCACGATATACGATATACCTATCCCTGATTGATCACATCACCTACAGCACAACACGATACCTAAAACAGCCCCGCCAGATCTGCAAATGGGTCCTTCCCCTGCTGCGTCGGTTGCGTCGAGGTTGGCTGCTTCTGTCCCATCATCGCACCCATGCTTGCCCTTGATCCAGGTGTATTCATATGAATGGGGACTCCACCCTGGGCCACACCCATGCCTGCCGCTGATGACCCTATACTTATACCTAATCCTGGCGGACCCATTCCCGACAAGCTTGAATTCGGAGGGATGCTCACACCCCCGTTGTTGCCGAGATAACTCGGCGACGTCACCCGTGGTGGGGTAGGTGCGAGCATGATAGATCCGAACTGTGGTTGTGGTGAGGTGGTGTTTGGAACGGGTGATGACCTCGAGGTAGAAGCATTGTTCATCAGGGACGCGCTGGGTTGCGAAGCGAACATTGCGCTAGCACTTGATTGTCGGGCGTAAGATTGGGTCTGTGGCGGCGAGGTGAATAAGCTAGCTAGATCATCTACTGGTGCAACATGTGATGAGGAATGTGAACTGTCATCAAAACTGATAAGGGATGTTTCGAGTTCAGCGGGGATGGGGTTGGCTGATACGCTGTAATCGCCTTTCTTGAAGGCCTCGAAGCGTGTGATGACGTTGTTAATTTGATCGTTGATTTGCAGAAAGGCGTCTGAGCGGTATATGAGGCCTACTCGGAGAGTGGAGGGAAGGGTATACCTAAGGATTCTGGATCGTCCGTTTCTGCATCAGAGACCCATTTCTGGACCTTCGGACGAGCGGACTTCAATATCGACGCGACTTGCTGTTACAATAAGTGTGCAGCTATACAACCTTACAAGTAGAATGTCGACGTACGTCATACGCGTCTCCCCAGGCGAATTTCTCCCCTTGCGCAGTGTCGACGTTATCGAGCATCTCGTTGAGCAGGATAACCTTACTCTCGAGCTTATTGAGCTCCGTCATGGCTTGAGAGCGGTAGTCGGGCTTTGCATCGGGGTTTGCGCCTGAGAGGGACTTCATGAGTTCTTGCGCAACTGCCAGGTCGCGCGGGGTGCCTCTCCGGATGAGTTCCTGAAGTTTAGCAGACTGTGCTTCTCGGTCTTCCGACTCAAGTTCGTCAGCAGATTTGATATCCTATACTGCCACGTGAATGCATGAGATAGACATAGCCACGAACGAACTCACCATCGCCGCGGGGGCCTCCGCGCGGCGAGGCAGCTCCCTAAAGCGGTACCCTTTGAACGTCAGAAGCCTATGCATATCCTTAATATTCCCTAAGTCCTCCTTCCAGCGCGAATCAGTACATATACCCTCCTTCCATCGATGGATGAGCTCTAGGATCCTTGACATGACTGGTCCAGGAAAAGGAGGTGGACGTTCAGGGAATCGACGGACAAGCTCGTTCAAAAATTCTTTGGTTGAAATCTGGAGATGAAACGGGTAGCCACACGATTGTACGAGGGTGTCGAGAAGTGCTAGTGCGAGAATAGCAATATGTGGGTTCCGGTGGTTTGTTAGACGTGCTATGAGCTTCGCATGCTGGCCTCACTAGAAGAGACTCATCAGTTAGCATTTTTACCGAGAATGAACAACCACATCAATGTACATAACTCGACCGTGTTCCATTGAATAGTTAGTGTTAGAGTGAAACTGTTCTATGCAGTAAACGGCTGCGCAAGACATTGAACTGGATAGTTAAGACTTACTTTGGTTGCAAACAAGCATCCTTGGTCCGTTAGTTAAATATCAACCTCAGCGTTACCGAACGACTCACCTTGGACAATATGATATCCTCGATACATCCGTTAAGTTGCAAGACGTCATTCTTGATGACGCCAACATCGTCAGTCGCTGTCAACCAAGCTGGAAGACGTGGTATCAACGCATCAGAGTGTGAGCGCCTGTATGAACGAGGTTTCACGCTTTAGTACATAGATTCAAAAGCATAAAACTTGCCTGAAGCCAAGGGCGTTACATATCTTCAGTCCAGCACTTGAGGGTGTGATGCAAGTTCAGAGGAAAGAGAATGATATTACGTAATCTGCAGATTGATGTTTGTTTATAGGGTTGCACTCTTGTTGTTTGTACAGCTTACATAACACAACGCTCAACCCTATAAAACAAACATTCCCTTGCATTACGTAATTTCTTCTTCTTTCTCCTCAACCACCATGTTCCCCCCTATGCAATATAGGGGGCCACTCATTATTGCCGCGTCAATGAACCCAAACGCTCGTTGATAGTTGCTACTTGGCCTGACCGCAAACGCTCGAGACAATCCCTCCCCTTTCTTGTCGACGAGCGCAAACGATTGTGTCGATCTCTCCTCCTCCTCATCAACGTGTTATCCCTTTGCTTTTCTTCACGTCGGTGAGTAGCGTGTCTTGGTCACTGTTTTATTAGCGCTTCATGAAGCCCTTTAGCTACCCGCACGTCTCGATGTACATACTTGGGACCCTCGCGATCCTGTTCCACTGATGTCCAGTCAATCCAGGGACGCGCGTGAGTACAATTTGCTTTTCTGCATCAGTCCATTGTAGCTCCTTCTTGACATTAAGTTGCAGAGTCTGGATCCACGCGACGATCGTACGCCTCGGCTACCTTCTCCCCACCCCCAATTGCTCAAGCTCAATAATTTGAGCCGTTCGGTGTCAATCGGCCGTCTCATTGCGTCTCACTCTCAAGAAACTGGTAAGTAAACTACCTTTGCACTAACCGTGGCTATCATTTATCGCAGTTTCTTTGCGCAGGCTATCATCAAGAACCTGTGAAATTGTTATCTGTGCTCGCGTTTGGTCTGTCCGGTCGCTGTAAGCATTTTCTTCGGTCTCAACCGCAACCCCAGCTAATAGCCAGGCAGATCGCCTTTGGGACATTGCTCACTCGAGGCCCACCATCTCCGCTGGTGTATAATTTCATGAAGCAACTGCACGATGCCTCCCGTCTTCTTGCACGCGCAGCGTCAAATAGCGGACGCGCTGCTCAAGCACTGGTCAGTCTTCATTGTTATCACGCTGAGTACACTACGTGATGGAGACCATACCGCAGCCAATTCTTAGAACGGTAATCACAGTGGCGCGCGGAGCAATGGAGCCTTCAAGTAGTTCAAGACGACAATGAACTCGAAATCTTGGCTGGAAGAACTAGATTCGTTCCGGCCCAGCGACCTTCAAGACTACTTGTAGATTATCCGGAGGCGTCTGCATGTTCATAGCAACGCATATCTCATAGGGCATCGCCCGACATTCAACCTGCCGCGACCGTATCTGCCTTTGAGGCTGAAAGTGCACCCAAGCAGATGCTTCAGCGAACAAATTTAACCCTGAGTCTCACGTCGATAGTTATTAATTGTGATTTCTCTGCGTGAAGGTGAAGGAGGTTTGGTTTAGCGGGCGTGGCGTAATACTTTATGTAAGACCAATGGGTCAACCCTATAAATGAACGGACTCAGAGATTACATAATCTTTTCCTTCCATCCTCAACCACCACGACACCATTTTGTCGTGCTGGGTATCCACATTTGTGTACGAAGTTATTCGTTAAGATGGGTCAGGCCCTTTCAAAGGGGCGGTACTACGTGAGAACCGGCGCATCTCAAAAATGATCTACGTGAGGTCTGGTGCGTCCAGTACCCATCTGGTGACTCGTGCACATTGCGGTTCCCAGCCTCGACTTTTCGGTGGACGACCGCTAATGCTTGTCAAAAACCTCTACGTTACCCTCACCTATGATTTCGATTTTAGTTGCCTCTTTCACAGCTACTTCGGAGTTTTAAAATAGCCTTAATGTCGCAGTTGAGCGAATCTGCACAATTTTAATAATAGCACACATACATAATTGGAACTTTTAGAGTTATAGTACGCTGTCGCATCTGTAATTGCAAAGTCTAAGCCCTAATCTAATACCACTACTGCAGTCCTCTATGCTGCCTTACGCTGTTGTATCGCGAAGTTTCAATCAATGCCCAGACAGTACGTCCCCCCTAAGTTAGGGAGAGTCTTAAATCTCACCCAAAATCCTCCAGGTGTACAAAACCAAATTGCCCACGTCCCAAGTATCAAGCTGGGGACAAAGACAAGACCCATAACAACAAGTACCACAGCGCTTTCATTAATGTTTCATGGCAAGGGCAGACAGGTTAGTGCCGCATATATGCACAATTCACCCGCATATACTAACCCCTACACACAGTGAAGGTGTCAAGACATTCGGATGGGCGATTTCATTGCCCATGCGGACGTTACGATCACGGTCGATACGACTACCACCGATTCATGAAACTCTTATCAAAATCCCCCCACCCTGATGATGCAGCATCTGACTGTATGGACCCCGACGAAGGTATGTACTTTTGTCAATCCGCGCACGTCTTGACTCTAAAATTACATGTCACAACAGATCCATCCGGTGAACAAGAGTCTCCTCAAGTCGCTAACGTCGGCACAGAGCTAGTTCAAAATCACCACGACAATTCCCCCGACACGGCCCACTACGCTGAAGACTCCCTTTGTCCACACCCCGACATGGATGTAGATCCGTCGCCCGCTCCGGAACCCCCTGTCAATTCGATACGCGCAGCTGTCGAAGCCCGCTCTCACACACTCCATCAAACCGCATCATCCTCTCTAACTCGTTTCTTCAAAGGCAACGCCTTAACGTCCGTTGCCCACGATGTAGTAACAGTCGGTGCAGACCTTCGCCTTGCTGAAGCCCATGATGAAGACGTCGACTCTGGCAGTGAGGATGATATTGCACCTGATGATTCCGGAGACGATGACGACGGCCTTCCAGCGATGGATGTTGACACTGAGTCAGATCCAGCGGAGCTCAGAGCTCACGCCCACGCATGGGGCATCCACGTTGACCCGACGTTCAACCTCACTGTATGCCTCGACTGCGCCGTTGCGATCCCATGGGAGCAAGCCTACGGCCACCGCCGTAGGCAGCATAATCCCACTGGAACCTCCAGTAAATCACTGCCATCCAAGGCAAGCGTCTCCAATACCCTGCGCGGGTTGAATGCCCATCTGCCCAAGCCTCTGCCGACCGGTCCAGTTCCTCCTATAGACGGCATGCGCATCATACCCAACTTACTCAAGTGTACCATAGAGGGATGCACATTCAAAACGCTGTTCACATCTATGACACCCTTTCATAAACATTGTGTCCTAGCCCACGGAACACCTCCGCTGGCGCTTCGCTCGCACGCCATAACTAACGGACACCAGATTGGTGTTATTAAAAACTCAATGTCCTACATCGAGGTAGCGAGCTCCCCCACAATCACAGACTCGAACGCCCTCGGGGCCATTCTTGCCCATATCGACGAATGTGGATTATACTCTAGGGATACTAAGTACCAGCCTGCAGCCAACAAGCGACCCAGGGGGCCGCTTTTAGCTCAGACCAACTGGGAGCAGTGCATTGAGAACGTCGACCTCAAGTCCCTCCGCCTAACTGCTTCGAAACCCGACGGCGAACCTGCATTCCAGTACCTCATCCAACAAACTCAAACCTACTACAAGTTCATTGCGGCCAATCTTGGTCGATTATCTACCCTTACCCTTCGGGCTATTGCGTCCACCAGCCCCTCTGGTAACACGGAGAAGGCACCGTTTCGCCGTCCTCAGGAAGACCCAACGCTGGAACGATATGCTAATTTCATGTCGAGATTCATCATCTTTCTCATTCGCCACCTTTGCCAACCCGTCGATAACTTCGACGTGCCTTTGCACCCCCTTCACAGCCATTACTTGAAGGAGCTGTATGCCCAGCTGAAATCTGCATTGAACCGCAGCTCTGTCGGTGCTGACCAACACTGCATAGACCTCATTCATCGCACCGTTTTTTCCCTCCTCTCCTGCGTTAGTGACGACTTCTTGAAAAATGAAATGAAAGACCTGTTCACCCTATTTCTCGTCACGTATCACCTTTCCGATGATTATGGCAACACCAACCGTGCGCCTCAAGTGCCACCCACGATCAGTCAGGCCCAATGGTGCTTCAGAGCAACCGCGGCCTATGAGATCATGGAGAAGATGCCGTACCATGAGAACAACTCCTTCAAGTACGTATCATCGCCAGCTTGCTCCAGACTTAGCACTCACCGCTATTTGCATAGGACGTATGAGGTTCTCGTCCAACGCTACCTCGTGGACGGCCCTCAAACTCTTTTTACTGGTCTGCGACAGAAGATGGCGCTTCTGTCTGCTCTGTCGTATTCGGAACCCGGACTCCCTCGCTTTGGGTGGAACGCTGAGATGACCGTGGTGTCCATTGACGGATTTCCTATACCATTGAAAACGTTCAAAAACTCAGTCAATTCATCCCTGGACGACTTGAAGGCAAAGATGGATGAGCTGTTCCGAGGTTGCCAATGGGACGACATCTTACTTCACATCGACTCCCGCACCGACCCTAACAATCCCGGCAACTGGTTCACCGACAGACCTCAATCCGCAGATCAGAAGACGTCGGTATTCTCTTTCAAAGAGAACGGTTGGGACAAGTACCAGCGGCGTCTCCTGGAGCACCTTGCCAGGGATCCCAGATTGTTTTCCAGGGTCAAGGGAGAATATGTCGTCAACGCAGGTAAACCCACCGCGCAACCGTGCAGAGCATAGATGCTAATTGCAACGCAGGGAATGTCTGGGAATGGCTCGCCGTCTTGAACGAACTGTCGTCCATCATGTTTTACTGCGTTGTATCGACTTGGGGGGGCGGAGCCCGAGGAACAGAATGCGATCACTTAAAATTTCAAGTCGACGGCCAAGGGGACCGACAGATTTTCATACTCAACGGCCTCGTCACCATCTCAACTACCTACGTAAAGACTGCAAGCATCCAAGGTCACGGCAAACTCATTGCGCGCTGTCCGTCGCATTCGGCATCAAGGCTACTGTTGGTCGTACTAGGGGTCATATATCCTGCAGCTGCGGAGCTCGCGACCTTCGTTATGTCAGTCGAAAAGGCCAAAGCGTACCTCTCCTATGTCTTCCTTCACGACGGCACCCCCATGAACACCCACGATTTCTCACAATCCATAGGCGCCATAACCCAACGCTATCTAGGACGCGCCTTAGGCATGAGAGATTGGAGACAGTTGATGAGCACCATGCTGATCAACATATCAAAGGTAGACTTCGGCATCGTCGACGAAGAAGATGCGGGTCTTTTAGCAATTCACGACGCCTTCGGTCACTCCCAGTCAGTCGCAGAGGCCCACTACGCTCTGCAATCCACCAATGCGCTCACCGAGATCTCCCACACCGCCGTTGCCTCCATGCAAAGAGTGAGCAAAAGATGGCACGCTACGATTGGGCAACTGCAGAACGGCGCCAAGGAAGCATCGTTTGATTCGCACTCGGCAGAGCGTGATCATGAAGAACAGCTCTTCGATCGGCTCTTGGGTCCCCTCAAGACGACCATACACAGCGCAACTCAACAGGCGACCGCATCGATGGGCGTTGACATCGTCGACGAGCTCAGAAACGTTGCAACTGGCATGGGCCACGGCATCCTCAAAGAAATGGAGGCCATGTTCCATCAATACATTCTTGCGTTAGGAATAACTCCTAAAGCACCTCTTGGAGTCCCCCCAGCGCCGTCGTTACCACGCATCTCCGTTCACCCCAACCTCATAGAACGCTTACGACCGCTCTTCCCTGGACAACCCACCCCTTCCTTCACCTCTCCACAACAAGCGGAAGTCGTCCAGAGCTGTATGACTAGCGACCACGTCGTTTGCGTTATGCCTACGGGCAGTGGAAAAAGCTTGGCATTTTTTGCTGCACCCGTACTAATCCCCGACAGTTTGTTTATTGTCATCACTCCCCTAGTCGCCTTGACCGAAGATCTTGCTCGACGCCTGTCCAGCACAACCATCCCCGGCGGACAGTATCACCATGTCAAGGACGTTTTGTCAGCCCAAATAATCCTTGTATCAGCGCACCAAGCAGGAACTGACGAGTTTTATCAATGGGCCAACTCCATTGGCTATAGACTTAAGCGCGTCTTCATCGACGAAGCGCATCACATTTTCACTTCAGACGACTATCGCCCATGCTTCAAGTTGTTCCACCTGATAACCCGCCTGAAGAAACCGATCACTTTCCTCACAGCGACGATGTCACCCCAGTCTTTATCGAGACTGTGCGCTGAGATGTTAATACCGCCTTCGATGGTCCGCGTCATCCGAGCCCCCTTACATCGCCCCAACATTCACTACTCCGTAATCAAAGCACCTGCCAACGAAGTCATCAAGAGGTTCACCGACGTTTTCAAATCAACCATTCTCAACCCTACCGACAGAGGCATTATCTATTGCACGCGGATCGACCTCATCAAGGATCTTGCCCAATCTCTGGACATTCAATACTACACCAGCAAGGTCGATGACCAACTGGACGAGCGCGCCAATGTGCAGGAGAAGAAACGGAGATTTCAAGCCTGGCGCGACGGCATCACACCCAAGGACAGATGGATGATCGCAACCCTTTGCTTCGGCGAGGGCATTGATTTCCCTGGAGTCCGGGTCGTCATCCACCTGGAGGTCAACAACATGCTTCGCTTCCTGCAAGAGACCGGACGGTTAGGAAGAGACGGCCTTCCCTCATCTTCAGTCTTGATATACAGTAAATTGCCAATGTACGGGGAGCCGCAGAGAGACGAGCATCTCGGGGTGCTCCCTATGAGGGAGTTCATACAGACCGATGGTTGTCGCCGTCTTACCTTTCAACATTTTGACCCTGACGCTCATTCCTGTTCATCAATCACCGGCACTTTACTCTGCGACAACTGTCAACTCATAAAAAACGTGAGAGACTCCTTGTAGTCTAACGGGCGCCTCATAACTAATTCACTTCTTCTAGTCCGCAGACATCACTGTCAGACAGGCGCTTTGGATGCCGCGCGACAAACCAACACTCCCTGCGCCTGCCGGTCATTCTACACCCTCATCTGCAGGCGTAGCCCGCCCTGCCCAAGGCCTCGTACCTGCTGTTCAGCATCTGTCTGTCAAATCAGTAGGCGAAGCCATTGACGCCCAGTACTCCTCTGGAATGGAACAGCTGCGCATACTCAGGCACATCATCGACGTTATAGTTGCTTCCGGTTGCGTCGAATGCTGGGTTACCAATCAGCACCGACCGCACCCCCACAAGCATCCAAATCTTGCCGGCGTCGGCTCCAAGGCTTCCTCACTGGTCTGCCTCAGGCGCGCAGACACCACTCACTGGCCGTTTTGTTACCTGTGTTGGATCCCATTTCGGGAACCATGCCAACACCCACCCCTCCGAGAAGGTTCCTTGCACGATCATGCATCCTGTCCCCACGGCGCCAAGTTTCCTTCTATACTTCCCCATGCGATCTGCACCATCTACTCCCAGAAGGTTATGATCGGTAACCGACCGAAGAATCCCTATATAGACAAGATAGCTGAGCGCTTGGGCGCTGATGTCAATAACTTCACTAACCTAGGCACTCTGCAAAGGTGGTTGACTCACGACCCTGGCAGTGCAGACGAGATCCCCCGGTGTCATGCCTTCATTATCGCATTTTACCAAGAATTCCGTATGCTACCTAAACCCTCCGGCGGCGATTCGGCGATGACGTAGGATTAATATTATTTCTCCGTGCTTCAACATACACCCGCTATCCCTCATAAGAAGCAATCATATTCTTTGTACGCATGCTTCTCCTACAGGCACAAAATGTACGCTTCCCACAAAGGTTAATCCGGCTTATCATCAGGTACGCTGGCTTCTGCTTTAGTTTGATATCCGCCGAGGCAGCTTTCTAACATATTCATCCCACCTCAAGGTTATACCTTGCGTTGTCTGCACCTTGCGTCCTCCCAGTCAACTATCTTCAACAAGAGAATTGCCTAATCACATCCCACTGTACGCGGTTGAATTCTGCTTCACTTGGAAGTGTTGCGCCAGCAACTAATCCTAACCAGGTCTTCTACTTAGTTTTACATCTGCCATCGGCGCTTCGAATACACCGTCCGGTCTCCGCTGTGGCTTCTTTGTCTTCCTTCGAAGTCTCCCAGCATTGATTTGAGACTTCCTGCCTACGTTAGTCCGACGTCAGGCTCTTACACTTGACGTACAAAAAAACCCCTCGCCCTCCCCTAGCCCTTCTACCATCCTCTATCGTTTCACTGCCCTCCCTCATGGCTCATCCCTTCGCTCAAAAATTCAGTCGACTAGCCACGCAGAGTTGCCTCTTCTGCAACAAACCGACCACCGACATGGTTAGGCACGTATCTGTCCACAACGAAGACCCTCAGTTAACCTTCAACTTGCTGGGTGAGCAGTGACATCTTGCGCAGTTTTAAACATCTAACTGAGTTACTTCTAAGGTATTGTCGTCATTGCAAAACAGGTGCATTCCAAGGGTTACCAGTGTCCGTTCCTCAAATGCTCCTTCACGGGGCTGCCTGCGGCCCTATACGCCCATTTGACCGGCCATATTACTGTAAGGCTTTACGTGTTTCAATCTCGCCCCTACTGACCAATTTCAAGTTAACAGGACAAGAACATCAACAGACCCATCCTATCTCGCATTCGCCTTCGATTTCCACAGAAACCTCTACCCCGGCCTGCAGCACCCCGACCCTGAGCGCTAACAGTACGGGCTTAGTCACCCCAATCTCGCAGGCATTCAGCGAGCCTCCCAACAAGAAGCGAAGAATCGAGCCTCCCTCTTCACCCTCCCCTGCCACCGCTACGACACGCCCCGATACGATCCCCACGGAACGCGCTGAAAAGCTTGAAAAAATCAGTGATTACATCGAAGATAACTTGGGCTGCTGTCCCTTTCACAGTATATCGTCGTCCCTTGAAATTGTCAACCAGCACTCAGAACTCCGTCACTGTGATCTCATCGACACCACCCTATACAAGACTGTTTTCCGCAAGACTATGCGCAAGATTGTCAACAGCAACATACTGTGCTTCTCCTGCTGCGGTTGCAAGAACTTTCACCATCCTGTGGAACGTTCATGCGACAGCGAGGCTCTCCAGGACATCTGGATCGGCATCCCTTACCTCATCTTCTGCGTCCCTGCGATCCAACGCATCGTATTTGGAGTTCTCGGCAAGCATAATTACCATCAGGTCGTCCATGACATCGAGTCCTTCGTCCTCTGGCTCTTTCAGGCATCGCCTCGCAACAGTGTCCCCACGAGAGCAACCCCCAACGCCTTCGACCTGTTGATTGCTTTCTCGTCGTGCTCTCAAGAGTTTTCAAACATCGAGTGGGCGGACGCACTGGCGGAAGCAAATGAAAGGATCGCGGACTTATAGTGCACTCATTTTTAACTTGCAAAGCTCTCACGTCCTTTCAGTTCTCAGTAGGTGCATTACGATCATTGTCTGATAGACACCAGTCGGAAACTCCCTTTTCTTACATCATGCAATAGTTAGACGGACTCGCGCATTGTGCTTTTAGAGTAGTCCGTACGCGCTGTAATTTTCGTAGAATGCATCAGACCCGCAACGCGCATTGTACTTTTAGAGTAGTCCGTATGCGCTGTAATTTTCATAGAATGCATCTGACCTGCAAAAGGACGGCTCGCCATTCCTGATCTTTCACGATAATAACCAGGACATCAAGTGAGAGGATGATTCAGAATTCACACGTCTGATCGCTAATACCTTGGGCAGATACCTCAAACCTCCTACCGTCAATGCAGACCTGCCAAATCTCAACTTCTTACTCATAGTAAATATCATGTGATAAATTCGCATGAGATACCACGCGCCTGCCTCTCACCTACTCCGTACCATAGTATATGCGCTTTATTTTGTCTTTCTTGGCCACTAGTATACCTAAACGCTCATTTAACAACCCTTATGACTACAGAACGTCAGTCTCTCGGTCGCTACCCAACTGGTCAAGCACCGATAGCAGGGTATCTACATCGCGCCAACCTCGACCTTCCGCAGGCAGATACCTCCAGCCTAAACCAGGAGCAGAAAGAAATATTCACGACAGTCATGGATGGCGCAGGGGCCTTCATCACTGGTGGGGCTGGTACGTATTGTCTCCTTAATGTCATTTCCAGTCTAATCAAGCAACTAAAGGCACCGGCAAAACGTACCTGATACAGCACATTATCCAAGGGCTGCGTATCAAATATAACACCATTGATGACGTAGGCGTCACTTCTAGTACTGGCGTTTCGTCCTTGAAGATTGGAGGTAAGTTGCTTTCCTGGCCCGCAACATCATGTACGTTACTTTATGATAGGTCAGACCCTTCATTCTTGGGCAGGCGTCTATGGGGATGAGAAAGGTGATGCAGAGATGATCAAAAAAATAGAGCGCAAAGACATGGTAAAAGCAAGGTGGCTCTCAGCCAAAGCACTAGTGATCGACGAACGTACGTTGCCTTACCGTTTACCCACTGAGCTAACCCTACTCATTCCTCATAGTTCCGATGATCACTGGCCAATATATTGATCGTCTGGATAGAGCTGCACGCCATCTTCGGGGGGTTGACAAACCTTTTGGGGGTATCCAAGTGAGCGCTCCCTGCACCAAATTCAGCCCGTCTCACGTCCTACTTAGGTTGTTGGCGTAGGAGATTTCTTGCAGCTCCCCCCCGTCCAATATCCAAAGGAGAGCCTCACGTTTGAAGCGACGTGTTGGAAAGATTTGTTTCCTGCAATCATCTGCCTTTCCACAGTTCACCGCCAAGTGGACCAAGGTGCGTACCTCTGATTCTCTTGGATATTGTCCTGACGATGCGCCCAGAATTGATATCTGCTCTCAACAAGTGCAGGGTGGGCAGGTTCGACGATTCCAGTGTAGACTTTTTCAAATCCCTCCAGCGCCCAATCAATCCCCACTTCTTACCCCATATTGATTCCATATATCTCTTCCCCACCCGTAGAGAAGTAAAGCAGATGAATGAGTATCGCCTTCAGCAGCTGGGTCCTGTCATTTTTCACTATAACTCTCTTGATGACCCTTGCGGAAACAAGGACAAGAGAATCTTCCAGGAGCTCCCTGTGGAAAGCAAGATTGGTTTGAAGATTGGAGCGCAAGTCATGCTCCTCCAAAACCTCGGCGACGGCCTGGCTAACGGCTCTACTGGGCGTGTCGTTGGATTCTTCAAACCAGGCCAAGCGGATCGCCATCACGCTGGCCGCAAAGCTGGCCTCCTTCGCAACATCGGAGTCAATGCCGACGACTACCCCCTGGATTGCTACATAGCATCGCGAGCCGAGCTTAGGGACCTCAAAGACCTATTCCCCCTAGTTAAATTCACAACCAGCGACGGACCTGAATGTGTTTTGGTAATGCCTACCGAGTTTAAACTCCAGATTAAAGGCAGGGTGATTGCCCGGCGGCTACAGGTAAGTTGACTTTTTCTCGTCCGGACCATTTCTCACAAACAGTCCAGCTACCGTTATCCCTCTCATGGGCCATGACGATTCACAAGAGCCAGAGCCTGACGCTAGACAAGGTCGTCGTTGACCTCGATAAAGCTTTTGCCGATGGTAAGTCTGTCATTAATACCAAGTTCAATCTTAACTATTCGACAAGGTCAATCCTACGTAGCTCTTTCTCGAGCAAGAACCCGGGAAGGCCTAGAAATACGACATTTCAAGGAAACCAAAGTAAGTCTGAATACTAGTACTGCCGCTCCCTATTCATTGTTTCACAGGTAAAAACCAACCAAGAGGCGTTAGATTGGTACCTTAGAACTTTCAGTGTTGTCTGATTCGCAGTATCATTTGTTTTGGTCTGTAAATAGGGTTGCGTACCCTCTGCCGACAATTGTATTAATATCACGTAGCGCGACGTGGGACTTATGTGCTACAATGTATCACCTTCGAGCTTTATTGTACCCCCCGCCATTTCAAGAGCCCAGTTGGCCGGTTTATCCTTCAAAAGCTCGTACGAAGAATGTGGAAAAAACCACACATTACTTACCCGCCCTGGCGTAACCCCATGTTCTGACACTCCAGGTTCAGGCGTCCACTCTCCTATACCATGGTAGAGCGCACCGGCCATTAGAATGATAACTTCGCCCGGCCGGTACCTTGAAAGGGATAAGGGTGCGCCGAACGACTGAATGCTGTGACACTCACGATAGTTTGAGCTTTAAATCGGGCAGGTAACACTCTCCGCCCTCGAAACGGCCCATTGGGAATATAACGGCGGGGCCTTCGTCTAAACCATCCTGATGGGGGCCTACAGACAACTTCCACACTATCACCCTACCCAGGAAGGGGCCAGGATCAACTACCGTCCACTTGCCTGCATCGAACTGCCTTCCGGTATTTGTCATAAAATTCTGGAAAGGACTTGCGAAACATTACGGCCAACCGTAGTGCCAAGGTCTCAGTAGCCTTGAAGTACGCATGAACTTGGGGGGCCCCGTGCGCTCCGGATACCATGTTTTTAGACGGATGAATCCCATACTGAGGCGATAAACGTTAGGAAAACACGCTGGGGAGTTAGAGAGGGCTGCCTACCTTCTCAGGGTCATGCGCTTGGTCTGGCCAGCCATGGACGAGGTGTAAGACACCAGCCAGCTCCGACGTAAACGTACTATCTTGATATACGTACTCTACCCCCTTCAATGCGAAGCTTTGACGATCGTCGGGTTGAGTAACGGTGTCGCCAGGGGGACCGCCGTCCTTGGCGTACTTCATAAGGAAGTCCTCCTTATCGTGGCGACCGTCGCGGTTAGCATGTTCCACATTGGTGTGGTGGACAAGCAGCTGCGTAGCTACCAGACCTTTATCGAGCGTCTGCGTCTACATTTATGATTAGATATATTCTAACTGCTGCAATTACAAAGACCTTACCTTGATTCCGTCAGAATAGACTCTTCTACCTTCGCTCTGTGCCTTGTCCAAACACGCTGGAGATCGCCCCAGTGGCCGAAGGTGTCTTAGGCCCTGGACTGTAGCGTACAGGATCCTCCGACAATCCACCGCTCTGGTGACCTGTCAGTTCAACCAACCAAGCCAGTTATATATGCACCCACCTCAACCTCGGCGTCCACTCGTCTTCCAAAGTACGCGACGAGCGTATTACCCAGCTCGTCTTCGAAAATTCCCGACGCTCCGTCGCTCTCCCATGTCCTCATCTCGTCCATAATCTTCTGCGCCAGCGCTTTATCCTTGGGCGCATTTTTAGTGCGAGTCTGAAGGTCCTCAAGGGATACGCCCGCGAGTCTGTACACCGGCGCCTTCTTCGCCCAATGCTCCAAGTCATGGTTGACTTGGTCAATCAAGCGTTTGTTCAGCTTACTTTTGCACAACTTTGGATTCCGAACGCCGGGTCTTAGAAGCGCCGTCTTGGGATGGGGAACTCTCGTCAACTTGCGAAGGTCGCGCTTATCATCGCCTTTCAGCACAGCAGCCGCTCGTGAAACGCGCCTGGCGTCGGTCACGACTTCTAACAGTTCACCCTCGCAGTCGTCTTCAGAAAGTTCAGACAAGGTGCTGAGGGAGGACATGTCGTCGTCGTAGCCATCTTCAGACATGATATCGGGTTCGGGAGCGACTGAGGATTGAATGCAAACGAAAATTTAAACACTTCGCTAACCCTACGTTAGTAATATGATCGAGCTGGGAAGAAAAAGTGACCTGCCTGCTGTAGTAAAACAACGAAACACGGCTGAAAAGTGAGACAGCTCACTTACTTTGACAGCGCGATGCGTTGCGATGCGCCTGTGTGCCAAAGTACGTCATTAATATTGTGCGAATAACTGATTAGAACGTGCTTACCTTGTGTTAGCATACTACCTGCCTACGCCAGATGGTTTCGAGCCAGCGACTACCCCGACCGTTTGATCCGCTTCAAGTCTAGATTTGAAGACTATTTGATCTTCATTTCTATAGACGTTTTTAAGGCTCGTCTAGACTGTAAAACTTACTCTGGCCTCGGCTATAATTAGCACAGTATAATTATTAAACTTCAAGTCTATATTTTAATAGAAACGATTGTACAGTATGTACAGTACTACATCTAATCTAATATATGTAAGGACAGCAACGTTTGATTGATGTTGGTGGTTCGAAAAGAGAGAACATAATGTGCGGAAGCCCATAATATAGGGACAGCCACTATTCTTCAAAGTCCGCCGGCATCAACCGCCAGCAACGTTTACCGGAGCTTGCCGGCTGAGTTTCAATTCTCATCGGTCATCCCTATATTATGTATGCTTTCTCCCCAAGATTTCTCTTTTCCGCCCCACCACCTACCACACACACGTATATATTTTAAAAATAGAACATACATAGAAATATACATAGGATATATTTAGATTTGATGCGCTGCAGGATGCGCCCAGGCCATGGCCAACATTACCTAAAATAGTCACGCGCGCTCGCTGTCCACAACGTTGAACTAGATGATTCCCAATTGTCGCCTCCAATCGTAATGTACACAATTCTCGCCTCCACCATGGTAGCGTCCATAATCGTCACGTCCACCGACGTTATTTGGTAAGCAGCCCAAATCGGTGAACCCTATAAAATGCTGACCTTTGCGACTTTTCTTCCTCCTTCAGCTCCTACCACTACATACGCTAGCGCTTAGATTACACTACATACGCTAGCGCTTAGATTACACTACATATTGTTGAAGTAAGTACTAATAATTTAACTTTGAGAAAAACCTACTAAGTAGACATCTAGGAATGTCTAAACGCGCCGCTGATGCCTCATCATGTCAAGATGAGCACACCGCTAAACGTATCAGATTGGAAGGCAAGTTTTCCCCTAGCTAACGCCGGAATGCTCACTAATACTTTGGATTCTGCAGAGCCATCGGCCTTGAAGGATCCAGCCGCATGGGCCATCTTGGAGCGATATCTGACCATAGAGTCAATGACCTATGAGGAAACGGAACGCGAATTTGCAGCGTACCTCGGGAAACGCCACCATCTTCTGGACTGGACGGAAGCGAGATTGGCGTTGTTTTCAGGTGATGACGATGATCAACTGTCGTTGTTTAATCTGCTTCAGGTGAAGGCCAAGTACATCACCGACGCCTCCAGTTCCTCCAACGCTTCATCGTCAACTTCCACCGGATCGATAACTTGTCGCCGTCGTTCTCGCCGGGTAAGTCCTTTCTTAAACACAGCAGAATTCACACTTATTTCGTTTAGCCGAAAAACCCGTTCATCGATAATGAGGCAGAAGAAGACGAGGAGGATGAGCAGGAGGATGAGCAGGAGCAGGACGATCTCGAGTTGGAGATCCTGGCCGGCCCATCTAGACGTACGACGGTAACGCAGTTGCCAGCACCCAAACATAAGTTCTCGGCAGCGGTCGACAGACTTCAGGACAAATATACAGATGACGTGCCCAGGTCCTCAGAGACCTACGTTCAGAACAGGATGTACCTGTTTCACGTTTACCGTAAGTTATTTTGGTGATTCTATATCATTATACTGAATACTCTACAGGAACTGTCACGCAATTTGTGGCCGATCACCTTGAGAAGCAAGGATTTTCTGTCAGAGTGTCGCCTTGGTCCCCAGGGCAGCTCTACATCGTTTCCGACAGCCCAAAGACAATACTCCAATCCCTTCCCCACTCCCACTCTTCATGCGTCACGAAATGGGATCGTATCAGCGAAGAGGAATCAGAATCAGTCCATCGCGCCAACCTTAAACTCGCCGATCCTTGCTGGGTACGAATCAAACTCGGGAAATACAAAGGCGACATTGCCTACGTCTTTGATCCCCACCAGACCAACAACTTCGTAACAGTCTTGATTCCGCCCAGGGATTTCCCGTACCCTATGCCAAAAGGATCAGTCTCGCTGTTCGACAGATCTCGCATTCCGGCAAAATTATCAACAGATATTATTCGTCGCGGTATCGCTGTAGGCTGGTCGTATAAAGGGGAGGAATACTACGGCGGACTTCTGAAGAAGAATGTTCATCGCTACATGATCGAACAAGTAGACGTTCCTCACCCTGACGATATTCGCCTCCATCTCCAGTCCGGATTCGACCTTATCTTCGTCAAGAAAGCCGAAATCGCATATTCCATGCAGATGTTGCGAGCCGGCGACTGCGTGCGTCTCATCCGGGGAGAATTCCCTTCGGAGATCGGGACGGTCTTAGCGGTGAACCACAAGTCCGGCGGCTCTTTGACTTTAGAACTCAAGTTAGATGGAGTTCGCAATGAAATTGAAGCACGCCTTCAAGACGTAGAGCGAGTTTTCTGGGTGGGCGATGAAGTCAAGATAGTAGCTGGCGTGTACTTGGGCGTTCAAGGCCATATTGTCTCCAAGACGGGAGACATGTACGACATATGCCAACACACCACCAACGAATTGGTACGTCTCAATCAACACAACATTATCGTATTAACAGATTTTGTAGGTACAAGTGTCTCAATATTACTTGGATCGCCGTCCTTTGAAGTACTCGCTTCAAGGACAACATCTTCCCCCCCAATCCTTCGAACCTCCGCCCGAACAAGAATCGATTGAAATCGGGGATTTCGTAGAAGTTCGGGTAGGAGAGGACTTTGGAAAATCTGGCACTGTGGAATGGGTCAGTCCAGGCGGGGCGGTCGTATGGTTCCGGCATGCCATCCCTTCGGTGACTCCTGAGGACGACTTCAAGCCTCCGCTCATCGAAGCTCCGGCATCTTCAGTCCACCGTACACGCCTACCCGCCACCCTCAAGTTCACGAAGGAGAAGGGCTATGACGTCAGGCCCGGAGACTCGGTTAGCGTCGTCCGTGGGCCCGAGTATATGACTACAGGGGTAGTGCAGCGCGTGGACTTTGTCAAGGCTCGGTTGCTACTCTTGTCTGAGAGTGATCAGTCACTCGTAAGTCCGGTTATTGTAGTCAAATTGACCACCTCTAACTCTGTTTAGGTCAATGTTCCCATTGGCTTCGTGATGAAGATTCGCAACGCTAGCACCGATACGTTCAAGACACTCATCGGTCAAGAAGTCTACATTATTGGGGGTCACAAAAAGGGCTACCGAGGAACGTTATACGACATCAGGGACGACAATTGCACCGTCTCCGTGCACGGTGAGCCGCGCATGTCAGCCAAACTCTGTGACGTGGCCACCAGGTGAGACTCATGCGTATTGCCGTGGTTATTCAAATTACTGATACATCTCCAGTTATGCTATGCGGTTGAACGGCGCTGTGCTCGAATACTACGACCTGCTGTCATTCTGTGACACCCGCAGAAGATCGTTCTTGCCTCCCGAGCCTCGAAGCGTTACTCCTCCTCCCGAAAGAATAGCACCCTCTGTCAGTCTTCCCGGCCCCTCGTCTTCTTCCTGGACTTCTTGGTCTGCCGACGCGGTGTTCAACCATTCCCAAACCGACATTCCAACCGCCGGTCCGAGCTCCCCAACTCCTAATCCGTGGGTTGTCAATCCCGACGACATCCAGGATACCATTGACGGAGCCATCCTGAAACTCTCAGAGAAACCTGGTAAGTCTTGAGCCCACCTTTCGCAATGTTTAACTTAGTTTATTATAGGGCCGTCATCCTGGTTGAAGGAGTTTGCCCCTGCGTTGTTCACGTATCATGCACTCTTCAAGGTCTCGATTAGTTTCCAGGGAGGCAAATTGAACAAGCGCCTGGTATATACACAGTGCCCTGACCCCTTCTGCGATCCGAATGGTCCTGCGCCTGAGAATTGCATTGCAGCTTGGTGCACTGCGAAAACTGCAGGGGGGGCGGTACAGCATTACCACATTCCTGCGGTAGATCTCACCCCAGCCCCTCCCCGGAAGAAAAATCAGGAGTGCCTTGTTCTTGAGGGCGAGTATCGCGGGGGGATCCACACCGTAGTAAAGTGTAACACTAAACTCCATACTGTTGAGTTGAGCCTCATGACTGGGTCTCACCTGACTTTCACTATGTCTCTCGACCAGGTCTGCCTTGTCGAGGCCTTCAAATTTAAATAGAAAATGTTACTATAGACTTTGTTAGATACCTATATATGTACATGTACGGCCGGAATTACCTATATCAATACCCCTTTTTGACTATACAGAACGTTATCCAGTCAGCGTCTGATGGAAGTCCTCAGCACATCAAATGGCGAGTTGATCTAGATATGATATATTACCCGCAACTAACTCATGCTTCGATGATAGATATCTGACTTGACACCAGAACCACTATAGAACCCTATTGGGCTAAGTTCTCGACGGTCTTAATATATCAATCAATCTCTCTACTAACCTCAGAAGAGTAGTCCGGTGAACGGTTAGGGTTTTTGTGGACACATGGTGTTTATTGGGTTCTTTATGGCAATGGTTCGCGCTAACGTCTCAGATTCACAGAACCTGATGCCCGGCGTCTCCAAGTACAGCCGGGTGAGATAAGTAGAGCACGACTAGACCCTCTCGTCCACCAATGTCTCTCGCACATGAGATTGTGCTTGAAATCTTCAAGTACGTCTACGATGGCACCGATCGTCGCACATTCCTGAATCTCCTTCAGCTTAATTGGGCATATTCCGACCTCGCGGTCACCGTACTGTGGTCGGAATTAAATTCATTAGAGCCGTTGCTTCATCTGATGCCCGAGGTTATCGTTGAAAGGCACTCAGTAGATGGACAATGGCACTATGTGAGTGAAATTTCGCTAGGCTTGATACACAATCCTGACACTGCCTTAGACCATCCATCGCGCCCCTTCAGCATTACAATTAGAACGGTTTTATGTTTACGCACCTTTGATAAGAGCGATCAAATCATTCGGGCCCAGTATCGACTATGATATTGTCGACGGTTTTTCGAACATCCTGCATCGCCATTCCATGGGTTCCCTAACTCCCTTGCTCCCACACTTAAACCACCTTGAACTCGCCCACCCTCGCGATCCTCTGTTGCGATTCATACCGCATATAATCCACGGGGGTGTACGATCACTCACCCTGCCGCACAATGGTGTTTTGTTAGACTCGATTATCTCTCGTCTCCTGCGGACCCCCCCTTCCCTCCAGAGTCTCGTCTACGTCTCTTTGGATGAAAGCGCCAACAATTTCGCGAGCAATATTCACCTATTTCCCTCCCTGCGCGACCTCACAATACGCCTCCTCGAGGCTTCCGACATGCAGACAATTGTATCGCACTCCTCTCTTCGAAGCTTAACGCTCGTTATATTCGATGTATTCCCTCTGCTTCAGAACGTCACCTTCAGCCACCCCTTACGCTCGCTCAACCTCGTCTTTCGGGTATCCTTCTTGTTTGGTGGGTTTGGCAGCGATGCTTGGGACACTGCAATGACCATGTTGCGTCAATTTCCAGTCCCTTGCCGGCAGCTCAGCGTCACCCTTCCCAGCCAACCCAACGGCGACGCCTTGCACAATTTCTTTCAATTTCTTGCTCACCAGCCGAATCACCTCTCTGACGCCATCTTCTCCCCGTCCAAACTCATGCACATCGCTGTTGACGGGGACAGTCCAAGCAACTGCGTGCCACTACCATCTGATTTCCTTCAACCACTGTACCGGTTTATACTCACTCATGTCAACTTGGCTTCCTTCAATATGTGCCATCTGGATGACGAGGATTTGCATGTGCTTAGCGACGCTATGCCCCAACTTCAAAGGTTGTCCCTCGGCACTTTGTGTTATTGGTCAACTCCTCCCAGGGCATCACTCGCCGGTGTCGCCAATGTTTTACGCAATTGTCCTGCGTTGACAGATCTCGGACTCGTGTTCAGTTGCAGCTTGGGGGGTTTGGACTTCGAAATTCTGCCCGTTAATAAGTATATCACTATATTGAGCCTTGGGATTTCTCCTCCGTACAATGATCACGCAGTTGCTTACTTCTTCTCTCGTTCACTCCCTAATCTCTGCAGCACGTACGTTGAACCTTGTGATTTGGTGTTGGCGCAGCACAATCACATTCTCCATGATCGACTCTTACGTTTTAAAGGTTGGCGAAATATTCTAGCTATGAGGTCTACAGTAGCACGACCCGTGTCTTATAGTTGTATTAACCTGTAGCATATTTAGACTTGATGATTTGTCTATCTTATGAAAGTAGGATCGCTGATCCCTACAAATGAAGCTAATTCCCTAGTTTACGTAAACCTTCTCTCTTCTCCCTTCACACTGACGGCAAACCATGGAAAGAGAACGTCCGACTAAACAACGGACTAGGTTTCAAGAAGTAGCACGCGAGCTTCCTGACGCCAAATATATTCCAGAATGTAAGTTTGAATGTTCAGATTGGGCTTTCTTTTATTCAAGAAATGTTATAGACTCTCCTGAGACCAAACTCCCTAACGGCGGGTCATCACACCTCGCTATTACGAACCTAAACGAGCAGAAGGCCTCTTCCAGCATCTCTCCGTCCGCACAAGACATTTACAAGTGGACCAACACGGAAAAGGCAAGGGCTCCGTGCTTCATCGGAGACGTTCTCTCGATGAGGGAAAGCATTGTCAAAGGTCCGTCCCACTAAATTAATCCTAATGACTACTAATGCCGACCGCAGGACCTAATATCGAGTTTTATTGGCTGGGACATATCCCTTGTCGAACAGTACTCATCGTTGGCGTGGTCGTTGGAATCCAGGACTCTCAGAAATGGAGGCTGTACACGGGTTAGTGAAGATTTTTCCAGTTGAGTTCATACTCAGGTTGGTCACGCAGTCGATGATTCCACAGGTGTCATTGAATGTATGCTGCGCCATCCTCAACCCTACGCCCACTTGGACCCGAAATCTAGATTGGAAGCAGCAAGGTTAAGTAAACTTGAGAATGCTCCGCCCCCGCCCCCACCCAACCCTGTCACTGCTATTGGCCACCCCGTGCGAGTCATTGGCAAAGTCACGCAATTCCAAGATGAGCGACAAATCAAAGCCATATCCATCAGTGTGTACTTTGCTTGCGTCTTTGACTTGTAGTTGACCTGCTGTTCAGAGCCCTGTGAATCAACCAATGATCAATGGAAACACGTTCGGACCGTCGTGGAACTTCATAAATCGAAATATGCGGTGCCCAAGCCTTTTGAGATACCGGTCGAGACACTTTCGGACAAACTTAGAAGGTGGTCTTCATGGAAGCGTCCATTGCCTGCCCATGAGCCATCGTCGCCTCTTGCGCACAGCCTGACCTCTGCCCCTTCAAGTCTGCTCATTCCTGGAACTATAGTGAGTGCTGCGCTGTCTAGCACTCATACCCAACTCATCGGTTCGCAGGACCCGCCCAAATTTCTCCATCCCTCTCGACTGCGCACGGCAGATCTGACAGACCTCACATTTCAGTCATACCTCAAGCATTACATGCAACACGCGATTGGTAATGTGCGTCACTGGGACATCGGCGAATGGCCACTCTCGACGCCTACCGAGCTTCAACCCACCGGGATTCTGTTCGCTTCGCATGGCCAAGCGTCTAACTCTCCAGCATTTACACTATCTCATCTACGCCGGGTGCCAGAACTGGCACTTCTAGCTAGTCGAGTAGTCGATGCTGAAACGAGACGGCGCGCTCGACCTGACGCGGATGCAGAGAAAGTTGGCCATACCCAGAGTTCCTCCGGTAAAACCGTCAAGACCCGTTCTCATCCGAACACCACAGCACGTGTGAGGATGAAGCGTCTTTTTATGTTGGCGGTACTCCGGCTCTACAAAGATGGCAGTGTCGTACTCTATGACAGACCTTTGCCCCCCCCTTCCAGCTCCGTTCCAGTCTCAAGCCCGATGTTTTCGGGGCTTTCTTCAGCCAAGTGCGTCGTTCCTGAAGAGGATGCCTACCTCTCAGATCCACCGATGTATGAGGAAGACGAGGCCTACGTTCCCGTGACACCAGCGCTCCTCGCTGCACCTGTGTGGGAAATCATGCGTGCAAAGGGGATTAAGGGCAAGAGCACTGAGGTTGGAGCGGAGGACATTACCAGGGATTTGAGAAAGTTAGACGTGCGTTGGGCGCGAATTACGACACGGGCTGTGGAAGAGGCTGTAGAAACAATTGCATTCAACTATTGAACAGTCGGTTAGGTTAGGTTAGTCTATGATCGATCAAATGACTTAATGTTCTTTCGAACGGTCAAATAGTCTGCAGTTTTTGTAATGGAGACTTGCTTTTAATTAAGGTCCATAATTAGCAGGACTAGACTCGTCTATTAATTCTATATTAAGAATAGGTTATAATTAACTTGGAACCAAACTCGTCTGTTAAATCTACAGTAGGAATAGTCCATAAGTAATACTATGTAACTACAATAGACTTTACCGAGGGCGAAGTCGGATGGTTGTAGTTCGAAAGAAGAACTGCAAATGTGCAGAAGCGCCTAATATAGGGACACCACATATGTTTAAAGTCCAGCCGGAATTGACCGTCATCCACTGTACAGGACTTGCCGCTAGTTTTGGGCGGAGTTTCAATCGAAATCGCTCATCCCTATATGAACTTTGTCGATGACGCGTGTTTCCTCTTTCCCACTTTCCATATATCACCACGCCTCAATACTATTTTTAGATACATAGATGTTAGACTCGTAACATGTACAATGCATACTTCTGTAAAACATACCAATATGGTAGTTATGGAACTTTGAGTGCGTCGCGCGTGCGCAACAATTAAAATATGCGCTGTCCACAACTGAGTCGCGTCGTGTCGCGCGCCCATTGTCATACGCTTGGTAAGCAATCCCAAATCGGTCATCCCTATAAAAATATTGACTTTGCGTTTTGCAGGCGTCCTTTCCAGTCCACCACGCACTTTCTCGACGCGTCCACAGCACTAGGATTGGTGTGGCCACTCAAGATTGTGGCCACAGTTCTTGGTAAGCGATTTCATGGCTTAACCCTATAAAAGGCTGATCTTTGCGTTTGCAGTTTTCTCTTTCTCTCTCTCTCTCCTTACATCGTCTGTATTAAGATTAGTTAGTTTAATTCTCAAGTACGTAGTTGTTTAATCGAGTCTAAAACATTAGTTAATGATATGAAATTTAGATCATGTCCAAACGCTCTGCGCCAACTGAACTGGAGCATGACGCCAAACGCGTTAGATTCGAAGGTATGTAACTTTCGGATGTTCGAGGCGATATTGCTGCTTATGCTTTTGGCCGCCCAGCACCGTCGGCCTTGAAAGATCCTGCCGCTTGGGATATCCTAGAGCGGTACTTGACGACAGATCTGACTTATGGTCAGATGGAACAGGAGTTCCACTGCGTACCTCGGCGATCGTCATCGCCTTCTCGACTGGACGGACGCCAGACTTGCCTTATTCTCCGGAGATGACGATAACGAACTGTCATTATCGAATCTTCTTGTGCTGAAGCGCAAGCACATCCCACCCACTCAATCGAGTTTGGCTTCTGGATCAAGCACTCGTCATCGTTCTCGCACGGTAAGCTGATATTTTCTACGTAGAATTTACACTAATTAAATGTAGCCTAAGAATCCCTTTCTTGACGTCGAAGCAGAACAAGGCGACTGAGGATGAGGACCAGGAAGAAGATGATGACGAAGAGGAAGAGGAAGATATTAACGGCCTCCCCAGACGAGCCAGGGTGACGCCCTTGCCAGCACCGAAGCATACGCTCTCCGATGCGATTGACAGGATCGAGGAGAATGTGCGCAGCGGTACTAGTAGTGCGGGTCATCGACTGTCGCCAGTCTCAGCTTGTGATACGGCCGCTTTCCTGCCAACCAGGATGTATGTTTTCACGGTTCATGGTAAGTTGCGGTTTTTTTTGCCAAGTATTTACAACGCTTAATACATTGCAGTCACTGCGAGGGAATTCCTTGCCGAACACCTCGAAAAGGCAGGATTCTCAGTCGTAGTTTCGCCTTGGATACCAGCTCACCTCTACGTGACTTCCGATAGTCCTCTGACTATCCTGTCAGCCCTCCCCGAGGCGCTCAAAGTCTCCATCAAGAAATGGGACCGTTTAGACGACGACGAAGCGAACGCAGTCAACGCGTTACGCTTGAAATTCCCTCACCCCGCCTGGCTTAGAATCAAGCGGGGAAAGTACAAGGACGCCATCGCCTACGTCTTCGATTCCGAGCAGACGAACAGTTTTGTCACCGTGCTGGTTCCTCCTAGGGAGTTCCCTTATGAGATGCCGAAAGGTTCTGTAGCCCTATTTGACCCTTCGCGCCTCCCTACCGGGATCTCGACTTCCGACATCATTCGCGATGGACAAGTTGTCGGGTCAAAATACAAAGGCGAGGAGTACTACGGCGGTCTCTTGAAGAAGAATTTCCACCGTTACTGCACTGAGTTGGTGCACGTCCCCCATCCCGACGCCATTCGCCTTCACCTCCAATCCGGATGGGATACCCCTTTCTGCAAAAAGTCCGAAATCGCCTTCTCTAAGCAGTTGTTGCGCTCAGGTGATTTGGTTCGCCTTACTACGGCAGACTTGATTGGCCAGATGTGCACAGTCTTAACGATAGACCACGCATTTGGTGGATCCGTGAAGTTACAATTTGACTTGGATGGTCGGAGCAAGGAGATCGAAGCTAGAGTCGACGATGTAGAGCGTGTGTTCGCTGTCGGCGATGAAGTTCGCGTTGTAGCTGGCACTTACTTGGGACTGGAAGGCCACGTCGTGCAAAAAGATACAGATATCTTTCACATCTGTCAGTCTGGGACACAGGAACAGGTATGTTTTAATTGTTTTTCCAAATAATTCTATATCTCACAGTGTCTAGGTCGAGGTCTCCAAGTTTTACTTGGATCGTCGTCCTATCGATCTAACTCTTCAAGGCCACATGTCCGCTCAGCCATACCTCGATCCTCCCCAGGAACCCAAAACCGTTGAAATCGGTGACTACGTCCAAGTCCTCGTTGGAGATTGGATAGGGAAAAGCGGTATGGTGCAGTGGGCATCAGATGGTTTTATTTGGTTCCAGGATGAGGATGATCTGTTGAGGAACAACGACCGCAGCGGTGTGGCCCCGCCATTCATGCAAGTTGCCGCCGCCATGGTTGAACGCACGCGCCTTCCAGCCACCCTGAAATTTACCAAGGAGCGCGGTTACGACGTCAGACCTGGAGATGTCGTCAGCGTCGCCCGTGGACCTGAATTTCGCACGCAGGGGGTGGTACGCAGTGTGGACTTCCGCAGCGCTCGATTGACCTTGGAGACCGACAACGAACAACTCGTAAGTACGGCCCTACTCACATAAAATAACTCTAACTGTTTGCAGGTCACAGTTCCCATTCAATTCGTCACCAAGACGCGTAACGCTGACCTTGACGCCTTCAACAAGTGCATCAAGAAGGAAGTATTCGTCATTGGAGGCCCGAAGAAGGGCTTTCGAGCAACACTGTATGACCTGTCTGCGGATACCTGCACCATTGCCGTCCATGGTCAACCTCGCATGACTGCCAGACGCTGTGACGTTGCCACCATGTGAGTGACTTCATTTGTATCATTTTTCGTTTCATCAGTTTAATAATTGTACAGGTACGGTTGCCGATTAAACGGTGCAATGCTGGAATGGAATGATTTCACTTCGTTCTGCGAGATGCGCAGGCAATCGTTCTTGCCAGTGTCACTCCGAAGTGTTACCCCCCCGCCCGAGAAAACCACACCCTCCGCCCTTGATCCCGGTTCATCCGTTCCCTGGGTGACCTGGTCCCCAGAGGTTCTTGCTGCGATGTCTTCGCAAACCGAAAATGCCGGTTCTGCAACAGAAGATCCTTGGACCTTCAATGCCAGCGACGCCGCGGACGCTGTCGTTGAAACAACCCAACCAAAACCACGCGGTGAGTAATCTGACATATTATCATAACGTGGCCCTTACTTTTATTCCAGACCCAATTTGCTGGCTGAAGGAATATGCCTCGCAGTTTCACCGGTACCACGCCCTCTTTAACGTCTCGGCGGGCTTCCAGGGTGGCAAGTTACTCAAACGGTTAGCGTATAGTCATTCCCCCGATCCCTTCTGCGGGCCCAACGGCCTTGCTCCTCCAGGCCACATCTCAGCGTGGTGCACTGCCAAGACTGCGGGCGGCGCCAGGGTGGACTACCAGATTCCCGTTGAGTTTCTCACTCCTGCTCAACCCCGCAAAAAAAATCAGGAGTGTTTCATCATGAATGGTCAGTATCGAGGGTTAATCTTAAGCGTTGCAAAGTGCAACATTAAGAATCGCACCATCGAAACGAAGCTTTCTCCAACCTCACGGGTTACTGTTACCGTAGGTTTTGACGACGTCTGTCTGGTAGAACCTGTGAAGAACATCTAGACCAAGTATCACACATTTAGGGATTGTAGACATAGGATATGGACATCATGTATGGCCGTAATTAGCATCACCGATACCCTTAGGATATGGACATCATGTATAAATTAGCATCACCGATACACTTCAATGTACAAAGGTTTAAAGCAAATCATCCATCGTTTCTCACGTTGGCAAATACCTAACGTAAGGGCAATCGTAGATTTATCTATTGTGCGCAAAAATACCGTGTTACTGATGTTAGCACAAGTACCAAGTCTCTGTAACACATTTAATGTGAATTAGTCAAGGAGAAATGTGATGCGACACACTAAACTGCTCGCTGAGAGTATCACGAAGTGAAGAGGGCTCTATTCCACAGTCCTTGGCAGCCTTTTCGATTTCAAATTAGGTTCGTCCGGTCCTATCAAAAAGTGCACCAGACGGTTCTGCTCAGAGATGCGAGCAAAGCAGGGGAATATGTCAGCGGTGACGAGTGAGTATAGATGACCTATGGTCTAACCGTCACCTCAGACAAGGTTTATGATAAGAAAGACAAGGATAAGGAATCCGACAAGCAAGACCAGGGTAGCAAAAGACGAGGACGAGTTTGAGGACAAGGATAAGAAACAAGAAAGCAAGCAAAATCAAGCGACACCAGAGCGATAAAATAGCAAAAATAAGGCGAAATCAAACCAAGTCGAAACGAGGTTTTGACCCCGACATCAAGCATCCCAATAGCAAAAAAATAGCAAAAATCAAGCAAAATGAAGCCAAGTCGGAACGAGGTTTCGACCTTGGCCTACCCGTCACCCCAGACGAGGACAAGGATAAGCAATACAATAAGAAAGACTACGATGGCAAAAATCAAGAAAACAAGCGAAAGACGAGGACGAGGAAGGAATACAATAAGAAAGACTACGATACCATAGACCACGACAAAGGATAAGAAACAGCATACCATAGGATACGATAAGATACAATACAATAGTCAATACGAGGATAAGAAACATGATAGACCACGATACGATACGATACGATAGTCGAGGATAAGGATAAGGATAAGCAGGGTTGCCACACGTTAGAGATGGTAGATAGCCCCACCCGCCCACCCGTTAGAGAGGGTTAGAAAACCACCCCCACCAGGTTAGTTTATGGTTAGGGGGGTTAGCCTTCTCGTTGGTTAGGATAAGGACGTATTCTCTCGGTGTCTCGTTTCTCGGTACCATACCATAGCAATAAAACAGTCGAAATCAAGCAACACCAGAGCCATAAAATAGCAAAAATCAAGCAAAATCAACCCAAGTCGGAACGAGGTTTCGACCTAGGCCAACGCGTCACCCCAGACAAGATCAAGCATCCCAATAGCAACAAAACACCAAAAATCAAGTAAAATCAATCCAAGTCGGTACGAGGTTTTCGCCTCAACATCGAGCATTCAAATACCAAAAAATACCAAAAATCAAGCAAAATCAACCCAAGTCGGAACGAGGTTTCGACCTAGGCCAACGCGTCACCCCCAGACAAGGTTTAAGAAAGACGAGGATGAGGAACAAGAAAGACTACAATACCAAAAAATCAAGAAAACAAGCAAAAGACAAGGATAAGGAATACGTTACAACACAAGAAAGACTACAATAGCAAAAGACAAGGTTAAGGAATACGATACCGCAGGGCACGATAAACAAGTCAAGGATAAGAAACGCAATACGATAAGATAGACAAGGATAAGAAATGCGACGCCATAGGATACAATAAGATACGATGCTTGAGACAAGGATAAGAAATGCAATAGACTACCATACAATACGATAGTCAAGTCAACGTACCACGTTAGAGTCGTTAGATCCCCACGCCCGCCCACCCGTTAGAGTCGTCAGCATTAGCATTAGGT